ATAAGTTCGAAACGAATTACAAGCAAATCCACATGCCGACATAGAACATAAGAACTACACCACGTAGCTAGACGTGGCACGACGACGCCTAGGACGTGGTCGAGTGGAGGTAGTGCCTTCACCCGTAGGGCGAGCTCCATCTGCTGCTGATCCTGATAGTCCTGCCTCCGCCGCACTTGGTTTCTCCTTGTCTTTAGGACAATGCTTGTAGGTGTGCCCATGTTCATCGCATTTGCTGCAACGCTTCACCCTGCCAGCCTCCGACTCGTCCATATCGTTGCGGATGCGACGAGTCCTCCTCCTTCCAGCCTTGCCTCGGAGCTTCGATGGGTCAGGAATATTGAGTACTTCATCGTTAGTCTCTGTGAACTCCCCAGCTATGCCGAACCCATAAATCTCGCCGCTCCACGTATGATATATTGCTTGCTTACTGAAGTACTGTGACACATATACTGCATCTGGTATGCCACACTCCGCTGCGGCAGCAATGACATGGGTGCATGGCCTGTGGAGCAGCTTCGGCTTTGCACAAGAGCAATGACATGTGCCGTCGGCTTTGAGAACACACTCCTGCTTCACTCTCTTGCGGTAGATACCCCTGCCTGCCTTATCTTGACATAGTATCTCAAACCTGTGCTGTTGGGTACCTTGCACTAGAGCTCGATGTTTCATGGCCTTTTTACGCAACTCCTCTAGCTTTTTCTGCATGAAAGCTCCAAACAAAATGCTGTTGTTCGGCATAGAGGGAAGAACTACCTGGAACCGATCCCTAAAATACCTGCATGTCCCATGTAAAATGAACTCCACTATGCCAACTAGTGGCAGTCCACGGACACCGCGCATCACCCAGTTGTAAACTTCTGCCAAATTTGTTGTCATTATTCCATATCTAGCACCACCTGTGTCATACGCCTTGGCCCATTTCTCTTTTCGTTCATGCAGAATCCACTGAGAAAATTTCTGAATCTCCAATCCAGTTCTTCTAACCAATGTTGGACTATCCGTTGGGAGAGGTCCAAGAGCTTGAGGAGGGTCAGCAACGGCGGTCGATGGAGCCGCTGCACGCTGATCACTGCATTTGGCTGTCAACTCATCTAATCTCTTCCAAAGCTCATTGAATTTTTTCTCCTGGTTCTGATTGCACAGCCTCTTGAACATGTTCATGAGCTCCTTGTTCTTGAATTGCTTGAAAAAATTAGCTCCCATATGACGCATGCACCACCTACTCTGTACATCTTCCCAAACACCGGGGTATCCTCGTTCCATACTCCCAAACTGCAACTCTCCTATCGCTCGCAGAATGCCAGCGTGCCTATCATGTATCAGGCATACATTTGGCCTCATACCAACAACTTTTGTTTTAACCAATTTCAGGAACCAGTACCAGCTGTCGGTATTCTCACTCTCAACAAAAGCAAATGCCAAGGGCAATACCTGATTGTTCCCATCTACCCCTATTGCTGTTAGTATCTGGCCCCGATACTTTCCTATCAAGAATGTCCCATCAATGCAGAGAACAGGACGACAGTTCACGAATGCCATCTTGCATGCATGTAGAGCTAAGAACGCCCTTTGCAGCACACTCTTGCCAGGATGTTCAATTGAGGGGAATTTCTTCACTTCGTAAGAGCTCCCAGGGTTTCTTTCCTCGATAACACCAAGCAGGCGTGGCAAATTGTCATACGAAGCTTCGTAAGTTCCAAATCTCATCTCTATTATTTTCTGTTTGGCCCTCCAGGCCTTGGCATAGCTAATAGTATACTTGTATGTCTCTTCAATGTGTCAGATTATTGACCTTGGTTCATATGTGAGATTATCGATGACATGCGCATACATCTCAGATGCAACAAATGCACATGTAATGTTCCTGTGGTATTTCTGAACACCAGGTAGAAAACATGTATGCTTGGTAACAACTGACACTGTCCAATAATCCTTCCATTTCCCCTTATACGTGTGCACTCTCCAGGGACAACCATCTTTTTCCTTAACACACCGAACTTCATATTGCGACCGGTTCGACTTGGCAACCCAAAACTCTCTATGAAGTGACACTGCAAAATGTTTTACCGCCTCCTTCATATCTTCTGCTCTACTATAAATCGCTCCCTGAATAACCTCATTTTCTTTGTACTCCCATCTCACACTATCCTCTTCAGAGACGATCAGCCCAGAAAAATCCTCACTAGCCCATTCTGCTGGATTAATATCCGTCTCATCATCTGACGAATCACCTTCCTCTACACGCTCGTTGTCAGAATCCTCCCTCTCCATTTCATCCACAATGGCACCGACAGTCTCCCCCTCGTCGGCCACTCCACCTGGTTGAATGCCCACTGGAGCTACTACGCCCCCGTCCTCTCGTGCGTTGACCTCCTCCACAGAAGTCTCGTTTACTTCAGCACTTGGTCCCTCACCATCATCCATGTTCGTCTGCACACCTGGATCCTTCGGGTGAACAAACGGAACCAAAGCTAGAGGCCACCCACATTGCAATGCATTTTCCAAATACCATCTCCACACTCGAGAGTTTTGAACTGGCATTAGTTCCCAATAAAAACCCTCAGTTGCCCGACTTACTATAACATTGATTGTTATGTCACTTGTTTGTGGATCAACTCTCAAGCCCCTCATTAACCATCCTTTTATAGAAGGTACACTCCTCTCAGCCGGTCTATCAATTCCCCTTTCTGATACAATAAAATCTGACAGATCTACCCCAGTTGGCCCGTAACGGACGTTTCCTGGTCCATGGTAAACTTGGAATATTTGTTTGTTCGACATATCTGTCAACGAAATAACTAGATCATATTACTCTTTCATGCAATAAACATCTACAACGTAATATCTTCTTGTGTAAGCCAATGCAACGGTAATGTATTAATTCCAAATTAGCAGATCTACGTAGTTACCGATATCTACAATACGCACTTCTAGATTAGTACAACTAAAACCCTAAAAATATAATGCATTTATTCAAACAAATTTTTAAAGAATACACACTATTTAACTCAATAGTCACATATAGGATCTATGAATATTACCTGAAATCGGCGTCTGAATCCGGCAGGGCTTCGCCCCTTCTTCTCTTCTCCTCCCCTCTCTTCTTTTTTTTTCACTGGAATTGAGGAGAGAAGAATGAGGGCTGGGGGCTGGGCAGCAGGCCTTTTATAGGCAGCGAGGCCTGCCGCCCGGCCAGAGGGCGGCAAGGGGCCGCCTGCAAAATAGCCGGCCCCGACTGGCTTTTTTGCATTCGGGCCCCTTGCCGCCCGGCAAGGGTTTTCCTGCAAAAAAACCCTCCCTCCGTCACCGCCCGTTCCTCCCCCGTTTGCCACGTCAGCTTGCTGCCCCAGAGGTGGGCGGCAGGGGCTATTTCTGTAATTTTTTTGGTCGATAGATTATTTCTGTAAATATTAAAAAAAAATCTAAAACCGAAAAAAATTCTGGAATTTTCGTTTCTCTTGTGGGAAGAAAAAAATTGGCAAATAGCAGTGCAGTTGACTGGTCAGAGCATGTAGGAGTCAGCAGTCAGCACCCTGCTTTTCCGCATCATTCGAGTAAATCAATTAAATAGCTTTGTCGAGTGCAGGCTGCTTCTTTACAATACTTATGTAAGATTAGCCTAGAGCTAATGTTAAAAGGTAATATTTAGTCATGAATTGGTAGGCTAAACATTAGCCTAGAATCGTATGTTTGGATCTATGGGCAAGGCTAAAAGGTGGAGAGAGAGTAAAAAGAGAGGAGAGAGAAGGAGAGAGAGAGCTGTTTTTTTATGGTCCCCACACAAAATTAGCCCCATTAACATATTTGGAGAGACTAATGTTTTGAGGGGGGCTAATTCATATTAGCCCAAAATTAGCCTACCTGTTTAGATTCTTGTGGGCTAATTTGAGGCTAAAAGGTGAGGGCTAAACATTAGCCCATGAAATCAAACCTGGCCTTAATTACTCGGCCATCAGCTCTTGTATAATTAACCGCATAAACGTACGTACTCCGTAGCATATATACAGGCCGGTCGTACTACATTAGTTTAGAGTAGCTTTGTAACGAGGAGCAAAGAGAAAACCGGCAACACAGCAGGAAGTAAGAAATCAACAGAAATAGCCGAGGGACAATTGATCAGTGATCAAGGGCGAATCCAGCCTCCAAAAATCATTACTGTTGGTTGCCCTTAAATTTTACAAGACGACACTTAGGCGTCATTTTAGATTCTACTCCCTCCATTTCATATTATAACTTGCTAGTATTGCTTACATATATATGTGTGTGTTTTAATGAATTTAGACATATATATTTAGCTTCATTAACATATATATGAACGTGGGTAATGCTAAAAAGTCTTATTATAATATGAAACGGAGGAAGTAGAATAAAATCATTGTTTGCCAGGTTATCTTTCTGAACGCTGTATATACGATGGTATCCACTACTAAATCACTACTCCCTTCATATCAAAATATTCCAACCTAAGATAAGATATAATATAATCTAGCACAACGAGAATCTAGATAAACCAATGTTAGATTCATTGTACTTGTACTAGATTATTACATTCCATCCCATGTTGTTTTGTTTTGGGATGGAAGGAATAGACCACTGCAAATCCGTTTCCATTTACGTTCGCAAAAAAAAAAATACGTTTCCATTTCTGAACAAATGAATCCCGCGGGGACTGTCCTCCACTGAAGAAAAGGATTGGCAAATGGGCAAGGCAATTGACTGGACCAACAGTGCAAGTGGAACACATGCTCGGATTCGTGCTTTTCTGACCCACCCAGCATTACAAGTGGAACAGCTTAGCTCCTTCCTTGTCGTACGACGCAACAGTCCGGTTCGGAGGACGTGTCGAGTCGTCGACCGCCGAAGCGACCAACCTAGCTCGTCAACGAGCATATGCAAATGCATCTTCCTTTACAATTCTCCAACTAAATTAAAGAACGAAGTGCACGTGCCATATACTCATGTCATGTCAATACGATCTATTTATGCATGCTGAAACCAGCGTCATAGTAACGAGAAGCAATGCAGAGTTCAGAAATGGGGGTGTTTTCCAGCTTAGGCGTCGTAGTGTTGCTGTTACTGTTAGTCGTCGCCCTGGCGCCGGTGAGACCAGCGTCGGGTCAGCCATTGCCGGGCTGCCCCGACAGGTGCGGCAACATCAGCGTTCCCTACCCCTTCGGCATCGGCGCCCGCTGCGCCCGCGACTTCGGCTACGAGCTCTTCTGCAACCACAGCTACTTCCCTCCGCGCCTCACCTTCTTCCCTCCACTCCCCACGCCTACATCGATCTTGGCCGGGCGCCGGCTGAATCTGGCCAGCCTGTCCATCGCCGACGGCGAGGCCGTAGCTCTCGTCAACGTGTTCCGCCAGTGCTACAGCAGCAACGAGAGCTACGTCAGCGACAACTCCCGTAACTACACGGTGTACCTGTCCCTCCTTGGCAGCAACACCTACCGCGTATCCGCCGCGAGGAACCGCTTCGTCGCGCTCGGCTGCCCCAACCTCGGCTACCTCAGCGACGACGCGGGCTACTACATCACCGGCTGCACGTCCGTCTGCCGACCGTCGCAGTGGAACTCCGTGTCGCCGGCGGCGTGCACCGGCGTTGGGTGCTGCCAGAGCAGGATACCACCCAATGTCACCTACTACGAGGCGTCCGTTCAAGGCTTCCAGGAAGCCCAGGGGAGAATCTTCCGCGAGAACACGACTTCTTGCCGGTACGCGTTCGTGGTGGAGGACAGGTGGGTCGACACCACCTACCGGGACAGCGCCGACTTCAACCGGACCGACGACTTCGCCGTCCCCGTCGTGCTCGACTGGGCCATCCGGAACGTCGCCAACTGCGACATCGCCAAGCGCAACAGGACGGACTACGGGTGCAGGAGCACCAACAGCGATTGCGTCGACTCCACCAATGGTGTCGGATACCGCTGCAAGTGCTCCAATGGCTACGACGGCAACCCCTACCTTGACGGTGGATGCACAGGTATACAATACTAGACACCTTAATACAATGCAGATATTGGTTATCAAGTTAACATTGAGGATTGTTCATTTGCTCGCCATTCTTATATTCTCTGCCCTCAAATAAATAACAATCATTCTGACAAGAAGTGATGAGTTTGTTTTTCCTCTTCCAAGATATTGACGAGTGCCAACACTTAGACAAGTACCCATGCCACGGAGTCTGCACAAATCTGCTGGGAGGCTATAAGTGTGATTGCCCTCATGGATTCAGCGGAGATGCCATAAAAAATGATTGCCGTCCAAACGACAAGTTCACATTAGCACTGAAAATAGTCACAGGTAATTTTGAGACACTAAGGAGGTGTTTGGTTCATGGCCACACCACACTTTTGACTGCCACAGTGTGTTAGGTATATGTTTGTTTCACTGCCACAGTTGTGACTTGCCACATTTTTTCAATACCATGTCCTACATGTCATAGACTTAATTTTTTTTGCCAACTTTAACACATTTTGTGGCTAGCAATTTGTCCACCACACTTTTGTGGCTGCTACAACTTACCTAATGTTAGTTGTGGCAAAGTGTGGCCAGCAACCAAACACACCCTAATGCACCTTTCTCTCTATTGATTCTCCGATTTCTGATGAGTGACATTGCAATGCCATCTTCAGGGGTCAGCGTTGGTGTGTTCTTGTCGGTGTTCATGTGCTTTTGGTTGTACTTGGGGCTCCAGAAGAGGAAGCTCATCAGAACAAAGCAAAGATTCTTCGAGCAGAACGGTGGAGTGATCCTCCAGCAGCAGATGCACTCTGGTGGAGGCACTGGTGGGTTCAAAATATTTTCCACGGAAGAGCTCAAGAAGGCCACCAACAACTTCGCCGCTGACCGTGTTCTCGGCCGCGGCGGTCACGGTGTTGTCTACAAGGGTGTCCTGGAGGACAACATGGTGGTGGCCATCAAGAAGTCCAAGATGATGGAGGAGGCTCAAACCAAGGAATTTGCTAGAGAAATGTTTATTCTCTCCCAGATCAATCACAGGAATGTCGTCAAGCTGCTCGGTTGCTGCCTCGAGGTAGAAGTGCCCATGTTAGTCTATGAATTTGTCTCAAACGGCACCCTCTACCACTACATCCATGGCAAGGAACCCACAACTGACATAGCACTTGATAACCGTCTTCGGATAGCCGCAAAGTCCGCCGAGGCGCTCGCCTACATGCATTCATCAGCTTCTCCACCAATCCTCCATGGAGATGTCAAGACGGCTAACATCCTACTTGATGACAAGCTCAACGCCAAAGTTGCAGATTTTGGAGCATCCAAACTAGCACCAACTGATGAGGCTGCAATTGCCACGTTGGTGCAGGGAACTTGTGGGTACTTGGACCCTGAGTACCTAATGACATGCCAGTTAACCGATAAGAGCGATGTCTACAGTTTTGGTGTTGTCGTGCTGGAGCTTCTAACCAGGAAGAAGGCATTGTACCTAGACGGGCCAGAGGAAGACATGAGCTTGGTGTCACGCTTCACCACAGCAGTGAAGGCTGGTCGTCATCGAGAGCTTATGGACAGCCAAGTGAGGAAAGAGATGAACGACGAAATGGCAACAGAGATTGCAGACCTCCTCATGCGATGCCTAAGCATGAACGGTGAAGAACGACCAACGATGAAAGAGGTAGCAGAGAGGTTGGAGATGTTGAGGAGATACCAGCAGCACCCTTGGGCTGAAGCTAAAGGTAATGCTGAGGAGAATCAAAGCTTGCTTGGCATTGAACATCAAAATCCAAATTACCAATTCAGGCAGCATGATGTTCTTGATCTGGAAGAAGGAAGTACATATACATTTAGCTTGTAGATAATGTTGTTTGCGTTAATCTTTTATAAATCAATGAATTCACATACAAATTCTTTTCTATGTAATATGAAAACACATCCATGGGGTGCAACCAAAGAACGACCAAGAAATTTATGTGTTCTGTAATATAAAAGCAAGAAATTGCATAGACGATAGAGAAGAATGGTATGTCACTATGAGTATTGAAAGGTTCATGTCCGTTCTTCTCTTAAAAGAAAAGGTGAAAACAACATGATGTATAGACAACTCATGATCATTAAATAGAAACATTTAAATAAGAAGATAAGGACTTGCCACAAAATCAAAGATATATATACTGTAAAGCGAGTTACATTGGATTGTCATGGGGAAATTTCTCCCCAAATACCGCCGTGTATGGGTCAGGACCATCACACTCCTAGAGTTGGTCGTCCAATGAAGGGAGGCGATCGTCCCTGACAGGATTTTTTTTTCTTCTACACAGAGTAGGTCATCTCTGCATGCCTGATTTGACAAGAACCATACCAAATTAGTAGAGTTATTCGTAATTTTGCGACGCGCTCACCAGACCAGATGGAGTCGGCGGCGGAGTAGGAACAGCCTGCGGATGGCGTAGCGGACAGCTCCCTCCCAGCTCCCAGAGGATGGAAGGAACGGAGGACTTCTGGTAGACACCATGTATGGCGGCTGTGGCGGAGACAATGACAGTCTGCGCCTCCGACGACGCCGGCGGAGGCACGGGAGGAAGGGTTCCAGCCGCCGGCCGCTGACCTGCTTGAGACAGAGAGAGAGAGAGAGAGAGAGAGAGAGAGAGTGGGTGGGGAGGATGATACGTGAAGGGCTGAAGGCCCTCGAGACACATTGAGCCTTGTTGGAAGGCCATTAGAGAGGAGAAGGCCTAGTATTGGGCCCTTTTGTTTAGGCTCTTTGCGATGAGCGAACTGGGCCGAAACTGTACGAGATGGAATAAGTCTACTGTCTGGTGGACTAGACAAGCTACCTACTCCCTTTTCACTTGGTGTAATACACATCCCGGATCAATAAATATAAATATAAATATAGTAGGGTCATTTTTCACATTGAAGATCTAAATCTGAATAGGGGGATGCTTTACAACGGAATCCCGTTCGAGCGGGATGATACCGGTTAGGTATCAGGACATGATACCTATTAGATATCATGCGATTTCTACCACGTATCAAATGATACTTGCAAGGTATTAGACGATTCCTATCAGGTATCATGTGATTATACTTACGAGGTATCATGTGATACTTGGTATTGACTTATTCTCGTTGATACCAGATCGATACCGACTGATATCAGGTGATTCTACTGGGTATCAGGAGCCAGGCACCAAGGCATCATCGTCGGTGGCCGTGTCCTCCGCGTTTGAGCAAGTCCTTTACCGTCACTCCCCACGCTGGAGCTCGGCGGCGGCGGCCTCACGTCCCATGCCGGAGATCGACATCCTCCGCCATCCATGTTCCACGCCGGAGCTCATCGCCGGCGGCCGCGTCCTCCGCTGCCTCGCCCTACGCCGGGCTCGTCGCTAGCGCGACCACGACATCCTCCGCCATCCATGTTCCACGCCGGAGCTCATCCCCGGTGCAGCCACGACATCCTCCGCTATCCATGTTCCACTGTTAACAGTGAAATTTGGTAATCGGCAAAGACGTCATCGGCTGAGAATCATTATCGGCTGCAGCATCTCGGAATCAGCCGATAGGAGTTATCAAGTCGCCAATAGTCGGATTCCTGCTATATTCGGTTAAGGAAATAAATCTACTAAAGGAAGCTTATCCCTAAGTGACAGAGTTTAAAGAGGATGCGGCATGGCAGTTTATCTATTAATTAGGAATAATTTGTTAGTTTCCTTTTATCTTTAGGAAAGTGTGTTTATTGTCCGATAAGGACTTGTATCAACCCATGGGTATAAATATGTACACACCGGGGTCTATGTAATATCTTCACGATCAATACAATTCGGCGCATCGCCACCCTTTTTACTTCTACTTTTGTTTTTAAGTTCCGGTGGGACTTGGCACCCGACGCGGGGCTGCATCGTCTTCGATCTCCGGCGAAGGGATAAGTCCAATGTTCCGCCGGTCCAGGCAATTGTATCGTCTACGTCGACGTTGTTCAAGGCTGCATCAGTACATTCGACCTCTTGGATTGCTCTGGTTTGGATGATATATTTGCCTACCTATTTATCATGTCTCTGTTAATCTAGTCTTAGCATGTCAATTTAGCTCTATCGGCTGCTTCTCATTTTAGGGTTTCTGCCGGTATCAGCTAAATCGCGTTGCTAGATTAGATTAGCTTAGACATCTACCACCCTGAAAACTCAGTCAACGGCTTGATTGTCTAGGTATTATGTTTCTTTTCATACTTAGTGCTGCATCAGTTAAGTTTGATCTACTAAGTCGTGCTTAGAACCATAATCTCTAGCCTGCTTCTTAATTGCTAATAAGGGTTTCATCGGGGTTTCAGCCGGTGAGTTATCTGGATGTTGCATCGGCTCATAATGATTGCATATACATATAAATTGGATTTAGCCGATGACAACAAAGGTTTCACTGTTTAATCTAATCTTGTAGATTTCATGACATCGGACCTCCAGCCGATGTGTGCTTTAAACCTCGGATCGATGCTTATTTATCATATCATTGCTAGCCGATTGGTTTATACTAGATTATATTGCAATATTATATTATCATCAGCCGATTGCCTTTATATCATCATCTACATTGGACATATAGCCGATCTATCAAAACCCTATCGCTATCGGCTGGTATTGGCATTAGCTATTATCGATATCGGCTGAGATTGCTCCATCGGCTTGTCAGCCGATCGACTGTTTTGATCTACTATTTGCATATCTTGTCAGTTGCAGGATCAAACTGACTGGCACGCCCGCATCTCATCAACCTTTGGACCTGCACAGGAGCTAAGCAGATCTCCTAGGCTAGTGTGTTCGATTTTTTTCGTCAACATCCACGCCAGAGCTCATCGCCGGCGGTCGCATCCTCCGCCGTCCATGCCCCACGCCGGAGCTCGTCACCGGGGCCGCATCCTCCACCGTCCACACCCCACATAACCGAGTGTTCGCATCGGAGCGGTCATAGGCAGTAGCGATGAGCAGGCGGCGACCGCGACCATGAAGCCATCATCATGTCGTCTTGCCACCTACTCGCCGTGAACATACTCATTCTCTTGCCATCTCGCCCCGTCGGGAGGAGGCGATATCGTCCCACGCACTCGGGACGGTATCCCGTGGTATAGCATTTCTGAATAGGATTAGATAAAATAGTTGTTTCTCACTTTTCTACCCCCATACTCATGTCTACCAAGAGACTCGAATATTAGGGAAGGACCTAATATCAAATAATTAGAAGTTGTGAGACTTTGAACCCAGGTTGTCTAGCCCACCACCTTGTGGAGCTAGCCAGAAGACCCTGGCATTTCTCACTCGTGTCTACCTTATAAGCTGAATCTTGTATACTCAACTATCGTAGTTAGGTAACCAGCCGACAGATACCATTTGGCTTCCTCTACCACCGTGAGGTTGAGACGTCGTCATAGCGTTCAATTGTTTATCCACCAACTTACAGTATACAACACATGCCTTCATCCATTACAATGCAGACATGCAGTAGACTCAAAAGGAATCTCGCGGGGACTATCCTTTTCAGAAGGAAAAAAGAAGGGCAAATTGGCAATAGGCAAGGCAGTTGACTGGACCAAAACAGTGCAAAGTGGAACAGATGCTCGGCTCCCAAATTCTTGTCAGTGCAAGTGACCCACGCGACAGTGCAAGTGGAACACATGCCCATATGCCCGGCTCCATGCTTTACCGACGACGCAACAGTGACGTCGACCCCAAAAACCAATCAAACGACCTCTTCAACGATGACCGGGAGCCTAGCACGCATCTTCCTTTCCGATCCTCCAAGGCTCCAGCTCCAACTAAGCGCGCTATATTTATTCGGAAACCAGCATGCGATGCAAGCAGAGAAACGGGCAAAGAGTTAGCTAAGGTAGGATGTCAGAGATAAGGCACCTGCAGCCGGGTGTCGCCATCTCAGCCGTAGTCTTGCTGTTAGGCATGGCCCTGGCGCCGGCGACACCAGCGTCGGCTCAGCCATTGCCTGGCTGCCCTGACAAGTGCGGCAACATCAGCATCCCCTACCCCTTCGGCATCGGCGCCGTCTGTGCCCGCGGGCCCAAATTCCAGCTCGAGTGCAACCACACCTACTCCCCTCCGCGCCTCATCGCCGTCATCGATTCCCAATCCAATTTGGAGATCCATCTCGAAAGCCTGTCCCTCGCCGATGGTGAGGCCCGGATATACAACAACGCGTCGCGGAGCTTGTACAACCACAGCACGGGGGACCTCGTCCGCACAAACGACGTCGTGTACTTGTTCTTGGGACGGGAAGGCCCTTACCGCTTCTCGTCGGCCAAGAACCGTTTCGTCGCACTCGGCTGCCCCAACCTCGGCCTTCTATTAGACGCCACAGAAAATTACGTGACCGGTTGCATATCCCTGTGCCGGTCGTCGCCGCTCGCCGTGTCAGCAGGGGCGTGCGCCGGCGTGGGATGCTGCCAGAGCTCGATACCCTCCGGTCTCCACACCTACTACGTGAACCAGGACAAGCCCAAGAACGTCACCCTTCAGTATTATGCCGCCACTGATTACCGCTACGTGTTCTTGGCGGACGCCGAGTGGCTCAGTACCAGCTACCGCGGTGACTTCAACCGGACCGGCGACTTCGCCGTGCCCGTCGTGCTGGATTGGGCCATCCGGGAAGTCGGCAGCTGCGAAGCCGCCATGCGCAACAAGGCGGACTACGCGTGCCGGAGCGCCAACAGCGACTGCGTCGACTCCACCGAGGGAGAAGGCTACCGCTGCAACTGCTCCAGGGGCTACGAGGGGAACCCCTACCTCGACGGTGGATGCCAAGGTACAAAATTAAAAACGCCTCCCGTGAAATAAACTCCATTTTAACAGTGAGTTCAAAAGCTAATTCCCGTCGATTTGGGCGATTCGCGAAGACATCGACGAGTGCGAGCGAGATAAGGACGCATGCTTCGGCAACAAGTGCACCAACACGCTAGGAGGGTACTTGTGCATGTGCCCGCCAGGTGCTCGTGGTAACCCGCTCATTGAAAAAGGCTGCGTCAAAACTGATCTAGGTAACTAAATTAATCTTCTTATCATTTTGGAATTTATCCAGACATCTAAATTAATTGAAGATGCTAAACTAATCTACCTGAGACTTGAGAGTGTGCTAGCTATAATGTGCAACGGAATTTTCGCCCTTATATTTTCACTTATGCTTATACTTATGAGTCAAAATTTAAAGTTGCAAAATTTGAATTTTCAACTTTAAATTTTGAGTTGATTTTAGGATTTTTTTATCGTAGTTTATTTTTCAGTCTTTGCTTCTAGATCGTTAAGAGTTAAGAATATGTATATAAAAGTTTTATTCATAAATTCTTTTTCGTTTGTAAATAAGCCAAACGACGGGGTTGTTTTGTTGGAGAGAACAGTCGATTGTTCGGCCAAGTACCAGCACAAATTACTCTGTTCCATAAACAAACAAAAGCAGACTACGATGTTTTTACAGGCTAATATTTCCATAAGGCTGATTTCTTATTAACCAACTGTTCGGCAAGTACTGGCACTAACGGTTCTCAATTACAAACAAATTCAGTACGCCTCTCTAATGAAGAAAACTTTTTTTCCCTTCTATTGTGCTCCAGGTTTAACTATTGGTATTGGAGTTGGCAGTGGTGCGGGGCTTTTGGCCATGGCATTCGGTGCAGTCTTTTTAACACGTAAGATCAAGAATCGTAGAGCAAACATGCTTAGACAGATGTTCTTTAAGCAGAACCGTGGGCATTTGTTGCAACAATTGGTATCTCAAAATACCGACATTGCTGAAAGGATGATCATCCCCTTAGCAGAACTGGAAAAAGCCACAAACAAATTTGATGAATCTCGTGAGATTGGAGGAGGAGGGCACGGCACCGTTTATAAAGGGATTCTATCGGATCTTCATGTTGTTGCGATCAAGAAATCAAAGGTAGCAATCCAAAGAGAGATTGATGAGTTCATAAACGAGGTAGCCATTCTCTCACAGATTAACCATCGCAATGTGGTGAAACTTTTTGGATGTTGCCTAGAGACAGAAGTGTCATTGTTGATTTATGAATTCATATCGAATGGTACCCTTTACCACCATCTTCATGTTGAAGGGCCATTATCATTGTCATGGGAAGATAGACTCAGAATTGCAACTGAAACAGCTAGAGCCCTCGGCTACCTTCACTCGGCTGTATCATTCCCCATAATTCACAGGGACATCAAGTCCCATAACATCTTATTAGATGGCTCCCTAACAGCAAAAGTATCAGACTTTGGAGCTTCAAGGTGTATTCCTGCTGAACAGACAGGAGTCACAACTGTTATTCAAGGAACACTAGGATACTTAGACCCCATGTACTCTTACACGGGACGTCTCACCGAGAAGAGCGACGTTTTTAGCTTTGGTGTTGTTCTAATAGAGTTACTTACTAGGAAAAAACCATACTCATACAGATCACCTGAGGATGACGGTCTTGTTTCGCATTTCACTACGCTACTCACACGTGACAACTTGGGTCACATACTTGATCCTCAAGTCGTGGAAGAGGGAGGAAAAGAAGTTAAAGAAGTAGCTTTGTTAGCTGTGGCATGTGTCAAGCTGAAAGCAGAGGAGCGGCCCACTATGAGACAGGTGGAAATGACACTTGAAAGCATAAGATCATTGTTTCTGCAGCAAGAAGCTATACATAGCATGGCCAATAAAAGTTCTAAGGAGAATCATGTCTCAATGAGTTACCCGGCAAATGAAGGCACAAGTATGGAGTCGACAAAACAGTATAGCCTTGAAGAAGAGTACTTGCTCTCTTCAAGGTATCCCAGGTAGTGGAAATTTTTTTAAAATATAAAGCGTTGTCACAATGTACAAGGTATGAAAGGCACGCGGTCCAAAGCTATATGCACAACCGTGTTTTGTTGATGTTCATCTGAATGTGTATTTTTGTCATCTTTCTTCCAGGCGCATGAAATTAACCTTTGTATTATGTTGATAATTTATGCAATCACATTACCTTCAGGAGGGTGGCTATGATTCTCATAAGTACTTTATTTTTTCCCTAATATATAGGTCACACATACAACTAGTCATATGCTGGATTATTTTTTTCTCAGATAAGTAAAGATTAACCTACTTGTTTGAACTATTCAAGAGGACGAATTCTTTAAAATTCTTGTTCTTGTGACATGGAAACACATATATGGTGCTCACCCAAAGAACCAAGAAATGTATGTGGGCTGTAATAAAACAAAAGAAAAGCCTAAAGCTGCATAGACCATATAGACCAATGATATGTAACTGTGAGTATTAAATGGTTCTTGCCCATTCTTCTGTTAAAAGGGTAGGTGAAAACAACATGTTATAAAGACAACGAATGATCATTAATAACATTTAAATAAGAACATAGGGGATTTGCAAATCATCTCTATATAATACTAGATTTACCAATTAGATTAATAGACTTAACTAGAATTTCAAGTTATCTAGGATTACATGGGATTATGGGAACATCTCTTATGCACTATGTCACGGCCTATTCAAAATAAAACTTACTATGAATATTCTGAAATATTTCTTGATGTACTCCCTCCGTCCCATTTTAAGCGCAACCATGAGTTTCCGTGTTCAACTTTGATTGTCCGTATTATTTGAATTTTTTATAATTAGTATTTTTATTGTTATTAGATGATAAATCATGAATAATACTTTATGTGACTTATGTTTTTTTAAAAAAAAATTAAATAAAACGGATGATTAAAGTTGAACACAGAAACTTATGTCTATGTTTAAAATGAGATGGAAGGGGTAGCTTTTAGAGTTTTAATTGCAGAGATGTGGCAGGTACCTCGATGATTAATTAAAGAGTAAATTTCTCAAAATTGCAACTATCTAGTCAAAACTCACTTTGCTACTACTTTAGCTAAAATTTTCACAAAACTGCAGCGATAGGAAATTATTTTATCGGTAAACTGCAACTTTTATCCCCTAGCTACGTGTTTGACATGTGTGCTCAACTTGCAACAGTGTAAGTATTACACATACTAGACATTTTGCGCGCGTTGCGTGCCCTATCAGAAGTCCAACAAAGGGGTACCATTAAGCATGTTGTGGGCGAATAAAATTAAAGATCCACACTCTCACTGAACAACAAAGCATCAGAATTAACCATAAGACATAATCATTACTCTCATAGTGAGGGCATGACAAAATAGTACTACCTCCGTTTCACAATGTGAGACTTTCTAGCATTATCCACATTCATATAGATATTAATGAATGTAGACACAACATTCATATATAAGTTAATGAATCTAGACATATATATATGTGTCTACATTCATTAATATCTATATAAATATGAACAGTGCTAAAAAGACTTACAATATAAAACGGAGGGAGTAGCTGTTTAAATGACAGCATGTTTAAATACAGGGAGCATTGGTTACCAACGTTTTTCTTAACCAATGCCATTACAGAGTAAATGGTTCACTTCTAGCACTACATAGCTAGTGCACACCATAATTTATTTTATAGAAACATTGGATGAAGGTAGACAACTGCATTTAGATCACAATAATCTTTGATACCTTGGTTGACACTAAAACTTTTCATCATATCATACATAAAAAATCAACAGATCTCTCAAGATCACAAACACATATTAGATGGCATTCTACTATAAATCTTTTTTTGTGGAGATACTTTAAATCGTCACTGGGAGAAAAAAACATAGATTTCTATGATAAATAGAGTGAACATTGTGTTGAAGTTATGCAAACAAAATTACCAGAATAACATCTAAGCACAGAAACATGTTCTTTTCAATTCTTGCAAGACAACTTCTGTAATCAGCAATTTACACAGTAGTATCGCAAATACAGAGAACATTATATTGCAGCTATACACAGAAATAACCAGCAAAGCTTCTAAGCATAGATAAACAGGCATTTTCAATGTTGTAAGAAAAATTTCGTGATCAGAAAGCTAATAGATGCATAAAGACGAATTCCGTGATCAGAAAGAGCCATATAGGCTCATGCTTTGTATTATCTCAATTCAGAAAGACAACCAGGATTATAGATGCAGGACCCAAAAGAAATGCCATGTAAGAATTAAACGATCTGAACACCTCTAGCCAATAGTGAACCCATAGCCCGCTGTTTAAATCATTTAAGATTTAACAGCAAATCCAGCTCCTTAAGCACCATAATCTAATCAAACTAAAAAAAAAAGGAAAATAAAATGAACAAAGAATGGCATTTCTGCCTGTTGCTCCATGCTATCGCCAATGTATAATCTCCTTGCCACCTAAATGTTGCATCCAAACGTGCAATAAATGAGAGGTTACCTACAAGAATATTGAATTAGTGATTATTCTTTCAATTTGGATGTGGAGTATTAGTTAATTATCAATGATTTAATATGGGGCTGTATGGCTTTATTTACTTATCATTAAGCTAGAGCTGGAAGATCATAGCTAAAACTAATAATGGCATAGTAGCATCTAGAAAATAAAAGTACCCTGTTATTTTCAGAGGAACATTGCTTCTGCTCTATTACAACTGACTGTCCTTTTGACCATGAGCTAAAGGAATGCAGTAAAAAACCTCTTCATTATGGCAGACCATGCCTGCTGTGGTTATAGGAATTAAATTTATCTGGTTGTAGATTCTCGAACTCTTCATCTACAGAACACACAAAGGGCAATTTTCTAAAACCAGATTGGGCGTCACACATTATAGAATTATTTGCACAGTATTGGCCACCTAATGCTGGTGTTTTCCTTGAAAACTCAATCAGGAATCTCATGGACCATACTGATTTATGAATCACAGGGACAAGCGACGACTGATTGCAATTCGAGAAGTTCTTTAGCTATTGAGGTAGATAGTCACATAAATATTCTAGCCAAAAAAGCAGTTGTCAGCAATCATTATATATGAAATGCATACATCTATAGAACTAACTACAAATGAATATTTTCAATGATGCATTTCATTAGCAATTTTAACTCTTCCCTTGTATTATGAATATCGATCTAACTGCTAATATTAAGGTAGTTTCAAATGTTTAGAGAAATTAAGTGGAAAGTAGGATCCAAATCTAGATCCTAACAAATCATTCGGGCTTACATTACAGGTCATGCAGGCGTAACTGATAGCTTTAAGATCGCCACATCACCATGCTTGTAGGAAAAACAACGAACACCTTGTAGGCAGGGCATCACACAAAACAAACACCTCAAATCTTGGTGGGGAATAGAAATGAAAATCAAATACAAGTGGACGATGGCGTGATGCGATGAGGGCAAGCTTGATGCATCCAGAGAACGGCTAGACGATGGAGACAACTCCTCCTCCCTCTGATGACCAGAAAAAAACAGGAGCTTGCCACTGCTCATGGAGCCCCCACATCACTCGAAAATCAAGTCATGCGCCGCCAGACCGACTCCTCGCCTTCGAGAACTCCGTGCCGACGCCATCTTCTCGCAAGCTCGAGGCGTCCGCCTCCTGGGCCCATCGGCCTACACCACCACGCTGGGGACGCCGCCAGCAACCTACTTCAGGTCGACGCCGCCGTGCGCTCCTCCTCCCTTCGCCAGATCCGATCGCTGCACGGCAGCTACCACCAGATCGGAAGGCAGCGTGGAGCTTGTATTGAGTAGACAGGTAAATCGACGACGAGGTAGTGAGAAGGACGAAGACCTAACCCGATTGAATGTTGGATCGACCGACTCGTTGTCGACGTACTGAGCCTCTCACCATTGAGCTCGAGCTCGAGCTCAGCGGCACCGGCAGCAAGGAGAGAGAGAGAGAAAGGCAGTGGAGGACATGCGGCGACGCACGGCGGTGTCGGGGCCAGGACAGGCGTCGGAGGATGGAGCGGCGCTGCAGGGCATCGGTGGGGCGGGGAGAGGCGGCGCGAGGAGGGTGAGGCTGCGCAGCGACACGGGGGCTAGGGTTTCAGGGAGGATGGGGAGACAGAGTTTTATGTTGTTTCAGAAAAGCCCCTTGATTTGTGTTTTTCAGAGCGCAGTCCTATTTTCTTTTTTCCTCTTCTCCGTATAGGATTTTCCTGGTTATGGAGGATCTATATGTAAGAAAACAGAACATATGATCGCACCATGCGAGATCTAAAACAAATTATATATTAATTATGGATTTTTTTGCAAAATGTCCACCGTGCTAGGAACTACGACCGATCTCGGCCGTTGCTGTGAGGGATCGGACGGCGCCGGAGCCGCTCGCGCGGACGCTCGAGGGGGTGTGGAATCCGCCCGCCTCCCAGCACTCGCGAGCGACGTGGATAGCTCCGCGTGCGAACACGCCGCCCCTAATCGCTCTCCGCTCGCCAATCCAGGGCAGGTTTTAATTTAACCGATACTAGCGTGGGACGCGAGCTTCGTGCGCTGCACCGGTGGAGGTAGAATAGGGTGTTAGTGATTACTTGCTGATAGCATTAGCAAAAAGAAAAAAAATGTTGTTTATCTGATATAAGTGGCATGATTATGTTTTTGGTTGCAAGAAATAAAATGGCGTCGGGAACCGATGAAAGCTTAAGGCAAGAATTGTTATGGAAGGCACGTAGTATGTAGCGCTTAATATAGGTATGACTAAGATAAATTCAGAGGTACATTACAGGTAGAGAAAGGGCAGCATAAATAGAAGGTATTGTCATCAACTCATCATCCATCTGATAATTATACATAAATAAATGTAAATGCTACTCCCTTCATTTTTTAAATGTCATCAACTCATCATTCTCGTATGTTTGACTATTCGTCTTATTCAAAAAATTTATGCAAATGTATAAGATATAAATCACACTTAAAGTACTATGAGTGATAAAACAACTCATAACAAAATAAATTATAATTACGTAAATTTTTTGAATAAGACGAATGGTCAAACATGTAAAAAAAAGTCAACGGTGTCATCTATTAAAAAACGGAGGTAGTATATAGAGAGGGAGAAAGTAGTGTATAAAATAGTCCATCTGATAATTGTACATAAATATATGTACATCTACAAATAGGAGTGTAAAAAGTTAAGAACTACTACAATGATATTCCTGTAATTAAGGTTTGTAACAAACCTCATTAAGTAACAAACATTACTATTCTGACAGCAAATGACATGGATCCTTTTGATCTTGTCCAAAATTGTTTTTACTTGCATCGCATTACACTTTCAAAAGTGCACTTGACTCTTTGACATGTAAATCTCTATCCTAGACTGAAAAGCAAACAAGGAAGAGTTACACACAATAATGTAAATATGACCAGAGCAACTTCAGTGTGTACTTCTTCTCGAGCGACCTACAGAACAAGTGAAACACTGATGACAGCAACACAAAAATGAATCACATAGCTAAGGTCAGCGGATTAGGGACCTGAGTGCAGGCACACCATCAACGCGACACGCGCACTGTTGCGGAGCCCTGAAGCCATTTGTATTCCCCTTTAATCTCTCTTTATTTTCGTGAACATTGCAGCTAGATTTCTGCTCTAAAAAACAAAAAATACTCATTTTTGTAAATAAAACAGAGAGGATACAATATAAATTTCTAAACTACTCTAAAATTTAGATGCAAAGAAACTCAATTTTGAGATGCCACATTACTTGCAAAAAAAAAAAACTTGAGATGTAAACCTGAGTGAATGATGTGCATACCGGGGGCAGGCACCACGGTCACGGTACTGCAGACTGCGCAGCAAATCGACGTTGCTCCGGCTGGATACATGAGCAGATTACGGCACCCAGAGCAAACGAGCTGGCTTTGGGCCCCTGAAATTCAGAGACTGACTGAATGTCGCATTTCAGCAGCTAACATTTTCATTTTCAGACAACAAAAGCATCTTCCATGCATCATTTTCATTTCAGACAACGAAACTCAGCAGTAAAAAAACTTCCATTTTCTCAACAAGGAGTTCTCTCTAAACTTTCAGGATTTCTATGAGCAGAATAAACTGCAACCTCTGAACCAGGAACAGTAACATCTGATTCAAGAAAAAGCTGTCTATTGAAATTCAGTTCATAAGATTTCTAGTCCAAAAGAATGCATCAGGGCGAACACTATGGCATGTACCAACATTTCTAGGTGACCAACCAACATCAGGGAAAAAAAACTCAAAATGTAGCTGTGTTCTTGCAGTGCCAAGTTGGAATCCATACCATTGGGAGGTGTAAATGGCACAGGAGTTGGATATGGGGCAAGGGGAACCGGCATTGCTGTGCCAGCTGCCTGAACCGATGGCATCGCTTGTAGATGCTTCACAGATTCCAGCAACAGTCAGGCAACTGAAATCACCTTTCCTTTCCCTACAGGAAAGAAACCTACAGAAAGATTCAAGAGAAGCTAATGAGAAAGCAAGAAGAAAACTGGTTAGAACACCACTTCAGTTTGCAACAAGAAGTTTCAGGACTCTTTATGCAACAGAAAACTGGTTCAGCAATGCACATCAGTCGCAAAAAATTTTAGCTTCTTGGTTGAATCTCTCATCAAATCTGATGTTCAGGTTCTGTTTACATGTACAAAAAAAATAAGAACCATCCCATAATTGAAAATTCATTGGTGGGTATAGCATCCAGGCAAACAGCTATTTGAGTACTTTTTTTTGTGCTAAAATACCAACAAAACTCACATGAATTTTTATTAGTTTGGAGAGAATAGCCACTCATGTAGGAAAGACCCCTACCTGAGTAAAGCTGATGAAGTGACCAGCTCATAGATGTATAAATTGCATCAAGAACAGATCAACTTATTTAAGCTAGTAATAACGGGGTAGCATAATGCAGCTAATTAATCAGCCACTAACCTGCCTTACAACACCAAATAGAGTCAAGACACAATATAAGAAAATAATTTAGATAACCAATAAATATGTGCCACATTGGTGCCACAATTTGCTACTACCAGGAAGGAAGCTATAATTTTAATCTAAGTGTGGTCAAGGAAAATGCAGTGAAAGGAGTAGGTAAAATTCTCACCGAATGAGCTTAACACCTCCTGGTAAATAAGTGAGGTAGATAGGAGCGCAACAATCAGCTTCAACCAGTGAGCACATAGAGCAACTCAACCCCTCCCCACATCCACCTCCCTTGCCAACTACTTCCTCCGTTTCATAATGTAAGTCATTCTAGCATTTTTCATATTCATATTGATGTTAATGAATCTAGATATATATATATGTATAGATTCATTAACATCAATATGAATATGGGAAATGCTAGAATGACTTATATTGTGAAACGGAGGGAGTATTTTCAAGGTTTTTAGTCAATCAACCTCAAGAAGGTGACGTACAGCACCGCCATCTGTTCTGCTAGGAAGGGGACAGGAAGAGCTAGCAAGCACAGCTGCCAATTCATGGAGAGCTGAACCAACAGTTGGAAATAAAGTTCACTAACTTGTGAGCTCGTGGGGATCTGGGAAGCACAAATCAGGAGAAGGGATCAAGTGATTTCTTACATGCTACCACAATAGCATCCTTCAGTATATCAAGCATAAACCAAACCATTACCTAGGGGTACTTTTCCGAGAAGCACCTTAGTTTAGATTTTAATAGAAAAGGAGTAGTAGCAGTAGAGAAAATGGAGGAGGTAGGAATAGGGGCTCTTACCCAGGGAATGGCTGCTTGGTGGCATCGAGCTCCATGGGGTGCTAGCCATGGCAGTTGAGCCTGAAACTCCATGCATGGGCTTCTTTAGCCATGGAGATTCACTCCTTGGAGCTGTGGGTTGGGGCAAAATAAAATAGAGAAAAAATTAATGCAAAATAAAATGTCTAAACATGTCCAATTAAAGTAGAGGAAAAATTGACTTGAAGAAGGCATATGATATTGATCAGCCTATCAAAGGGTAGCAGTTCGCAGTTCGCAGTTCAAACACCTATATTTACATGTAGATTAGCATCCACTTTAATGAACAAGGATGTCAAAAAATGGTTTTCTCTTTGCAGATAATCCAAGATATCATTGTTACAGACAAATAAACAAATTAATAATGTACTCAGCTACTTAAGGTAAACTTTGTATCAAATTACTTCCTATGGTAATTACCAACCTCTTGAAGCCACCATGTTTTCTATCTTCTGCAAGTATAGCTCTATCAACTATTACACCAGTTCTTGAACTGCCAAATAAGATAAAAGGTGAAAAAAATCAGATTGAGTGAGCTCAAGCTACTGTCGTTCTATATTGCGTAATAATAATGGTAAATTGGAAATGGTTTATGGTTTATTCTTTTAAAAGTAACTCTCCCTTTACTATTGTCCATAATAGATTCCCCAAAGTACATGTTTTCCCTGTACTATCCTATGACTGATAAGAAATGATAATTCATTTTTTTTCTTCCTAAACACTCTCACCTGTTGTAACATAGAGAAACAATATCAGCTAACATGTTTTTTTCCTGTGGCAACAAATACGCCCGTGAAAAATAATGCAAACCTTGAGGAAGCGACGGCGATGAAGAATTGAAGATTTCCTTAGGCGGGCTGCTAGTATCTCCTCCCCCAAGAGCATGCGACTACGGTGACATGAGCTTGCTCTATTGCTGCCAGGGCTGGAGGGAAGAGAAAAATAGTCACCGAGGAGAAGTGGTTGGCTGGACGCGTTTCTCGTTAACCTATGCACATCAGCAAAGTAAAGAACAAAGAAAAGGGGAAAAAATCAAGGAAGGCAGAGGATTGAGAAACCGAGAAAGAGCCAAAAACTCACCGGAGTGATTCCAATCTTGCAGCTGCGTGAGGGAGAGGATGAGGAGGGACGCAGCACCAGACCCTCACTGGGGCGACCCGGCTCTAGGACAGTGTGATGACAGGCTTGCCTTGTGAGTGAGCCATCCAGATCGACCGTAGCGCCAGTTGACCGACCATGTTGCCGCCGAGCTCGTCGGCAGATCAGCCTAGCGATGTACGGTTCTCCTCTTCTCGCCGCAGCCACCGCCTTCATTGATGCCGGCTTCGTCACCACCGTCGTTTCTTCGATGGCAGCGGCAACGGAGGGCGGATCTGTACGCCTGCGGCCACATGGAGCCCAGATCCGGACGCCGGCAGCCGAAGGCGGCTGTTGGTAGCGGCGGCGTGAGGCGGAGGCGGAAGCGGCGGCGCTCAGCGACGGCGGTGGCCAAGGCGGAGATGGCTGCTCGCCTCACCGAAGGGAGGAGGGGACTGGCAGCGGCGGCTAGGGTTGGCGGAGGCAGAGGCCGAGGCGGTCGGCAATGGGGACGGCGGGAGGCGGAGGTGGCAGCGCGATGGGGGACGGCGATGGCGCTCGGCGGCGGCGGCGGTGGCGGCGCGAGGGGTAGGCGGAGGCGGCGGTGCACGGCGGCTCTCGGTGGCGGGGGCGGCGGGAGAGGGAGAGGGAGGGACGAAGGGAGAAGGGGACACTGGAAGCGGCGGCTAGGGTTTGGGGGTGGGTTGCGCGGGGTTTTTTCGACAAAACCCCTCGGCTTCTACATTTTAGAGCGCGGTCCCTGTTCTTGTTTTTTTGTTCTTCGCGTGAAATACCTGGATTTCCTACGGAACTAAATGTAAAAATATCATATCAGGAGCACTGTTGTTGAGGGACCTCGATAGAATTACATAGAAACCGAAGGGCTTTCCTGCAAAAGTTGCAAGGACGACGCGGCCGCACGAGAGCTCGCGAAATCCAGCCATTCTCCAGCGCCTGTCCACGCGTCGCGACGCGGCAGGGGCCACGCCAGCGCAAAACGCTGAGGGCGCTGCATTCTCGGGCTGGTTTGAAGACTTTAGATGTGCCTAAGAGCACCCACAATGGTAAAGTAAGGTGCTATCTATAAAACATGTACATCTCAGCAATAGACTAGATTAATAGTAAACCACTTCAATGGTATGTCTACATGGGTATCTATAGCTCTCTAATCCATTGCCTCGTTTTTCTCTATAAACTATCTCCAGGTTAGTAGATAGATTTCCTCTCTCTCTTCATTTAATCTCTTCCAAGTAGGAAAATATGCTGACATGGATCTCTTGTAGAGAGCCTATAGATAACCATTGCGGGTGCCCTAACAGGTGTTCCTGGCCTACTAGTGGAACAAATTTTGCAGTTCTAATAAAAAATCATTAGCTACTGTTGCAGCTTTGTGGAATTTAGGCTATAGTTGCAACGAATTAATTGATAAGTTTTGGCATAATATTTGCAGTCTTTTGAAATTTACTCCTAGTTAAAGCCTCCATTGTAGGCCATATTGATAAAGCAAGAATCTTTCTACCAACTCCTTTAGGCCATATTGATAAGCAAGAATCTTTCTACCAACTCCTTTTGTTAGCATCCTTCAGTATCTTGATCTTGGCCTCAATGGCGGACGTAGGATTAAAAAGATGGGACGAAAAATGTTCGCTTCATAAGGAGAACTAAACGCAACAAATACCATATTTATATTGTAATCACATAAAAATATAATTAAAATCAATACCTTCAAGTTCTGGTTCTTGTGTATCTTCGATCACAGTCTCAACAGGCTCTTCAAGCACTTCCTCGGCTATGAAATATATAGGAGCATCATCTCCATGGATACGCTATGAGTTAAGCAGATCTCTCAGGCCTTCGTGTGTCACAGTGCATATTATGTCAATATTTGGTTGGTGGTAAAAGGAGTGGTTGCTCCTCAACTAGCTCTTACCACTATCTGTCAACTTTAGGTGTGCACATATCTGTTAATGCTTTTATTCACGGCGAAGATAATTGATGCTATCATTGATCATTTTTTATCAACATGTTAGAGGCTGACAAACCTAGAAGCCCTCTATAATTTCTAAACATAACACTTTCACTGTATACATAAATCAAAATTGATAACTAAACTTGAAATTTTATGATGGGAATATATATTTCATGAGTCGTAACCCGTCTGCTTCTTTATATATATTTTAAGCGCTATCTTAATCCTATAAATTCGGAACTTCTTTAACTAATGACAGTTACTTTTTAAAAATATATAGCTTACAACGTGCTAACAACAAATATATTAACTCTATCATTATAATTACAGGAAACTGATGAAGAACAAGATACTGATCAACGTTTGATTCAACCAACAAGATGAAGAACAAGATACAGATCAACATTTGATTCAACCAATAGGTAAAAATCTTTCGCTATACAAATAATGCAGACCAATAATTTTTGGCATATATATGTGGAGAAAAGTAGTAGCATTCAGTGCATAGACTCGTCCGTTAGCCATTCTATTTTACCAGAGAAATGAAATGGAGATTTATCAAATGCTTCGATTATTCAAGCTCTTAAACGGTTTATGTCTGTGTAATAAACATTACATATATATCCAAGTGTATTAGGTTTAACTATTTAGAGATCTTGAGACATTTTTAATGTATCTAAAATTACTTGTCAGTAGCAAACATTTGAAGCCATTCATATATATCCATCGATTATATGATGTTCCAGGTTAACATAGGTTCAATTGAGCTGGCTCATCTAGTTTTCCACTTGGTTCTTTGCATTCGCCATGCTTTAAGTGATTTTGATTGGCAAACAACTAGTGTTTTGACTCAATTAGCTAGTGCTATGCATACGAAGTTTGCTAAGTATTGGGATGAAAAATTGCCAAACAATTTTAATTTGGCACTTGTCATTAGCACTGTCTTAGATCCAAGAAGGAAACGAGATTATTTGGAATTCTTTTATGCCAAGGTGTCTCCCAATATGAATGAAGCTGAAACTAAAGTGGATTTTGTTATAGAGCGGATGAAGTCATACTTCAGAGTATATGAAGGAATTGCAAGGAGAAGGGGTGTGTCCTCCCTATCACATTCAGAGCAAGGAGAAGCAACTGCTGTAGGCTCGCCAGTTCTAGGCAAAAGAAAGCTTGACCAAGAGTTTGCTATTTTTAAGTCAAACCGAACACGATTACATAAGTCTGAGATTGAGACATATTTAGAAGAAGTTTGTGAGGATGATAGCAAGGATTTCGATGTTTTGGCTTGGTGGAAGAGAAATGCTAAAAGGTTTCCTATACTGGCAATTATGGCTCAGGATTTTCTAGCAATTCCATTCAGCATTGTGCCTTCGGAATCAGCTTTTAGTTGTGGAGGAAGGATACTTGGAGACACAAGAAGTTCATTGACACCTGATATGCTTGAGGCACTGGCTTGTGCTAAAGATTGGTTATTTAAACCGAAGAAACAAGGTAATTAAATGTATAATTTTTGCATATCTACTACTAGCTAGACTAACAAAGTAACATTGTTTCCTTCTTAGCTTGTAAGAAAACTTGGTCTCTATAGTTTGCATGATTATTCTCAAAGTAACTTGAAAATTGTAATGCAGTTGGTAGCTGATGCTTGTCTATGTGGCCATATCATTTATTTTTGTACACTAACTTATTCTAAAGTATGATGGTCCGAAAAGGTAGTAGTTTTTTGTATGATGGATTTTAGCTCTAAGTTGATATTTTACACTTAAATTTTATGGTATCAGTATTATTGAATCTTTACTGAAACCTGATTCTTGCTTCCAGTTTAGTAAACTGAACCAGAAAATCTACAATGCTTGTTTGTTTGAGTTTTGAACCCACCATTTACATACTGAAGTAGTTTGTGTTGATGCTATTACAAATCAAAGCACCTGAGATGGATGAGCATCAAGAGAGTAGAACCACCTTTTTGGTTGTGGGGATAACCACATCAAGCAATTACATCAGAGGATCATAGCTTGCATGCTAACTGATTTGAGCTGCAGAAGTAGCATGCTTATGCATGTTCAACTATCTATCTATTAACTTATTAAAGGAATAGAAAAAGAAGCCTCTACGTTCGCTCTCACGGCCTAGAAATTCTCATATTAATCGGAGAAAAAGAAAAACAGAGTCCATATAGAAATACAATTTAGAAATAGTTAAAATTCGGAATTAAAAAATAAGGAATATTGGAAGAGAAGATTAGAGTCCATATAGAAATACAATTAAGAAATAATAGAAATTCGGAATTAAAAATAAGGAATATTAGAAGTAGAGTATAGAGTCCATATAGAAATACAATTAAAAAATAACATAAAATCGGAATTAAAAATAAGGAATATTAGAAGTAGAGTATAGAGTCCATATAGGAATTTAAAACTAACTAAAATTTGAAATAAACATAATAAAATTAAAAGTAGATTTAGAGTTCGTATAAAAATACAATTTATAAATAAGTAAAATTCGAAATTAAAAAAAACATGGAAAGAAGAGTCTAAAGTCAATATACGAATACAATTTAGAAGTAACTGAAATTCGAAATTAAAAATTAAATAATATTGAAAGATGAGTTTAGAGTCCACATAGAAATATAATTAGAAATAATAAAGATTCAGAATTAAAATTAACTAATATTAGAAGAAGAGCCTAGAATCTATATAGAAATACAATTTACATATAATGAAAATTCGGAATTAAAAAAATATTGAAAGACGAGTCTAAAGTACATATAGGAATATAATTTACAAATAACTAAAATTTAATATTAAAAATAATTAATAACTAACACATGTATAAAAAACAATATGAATATTACACATTAGTAGTTTTATAAAGTTAGTACAAAATTTAAAATTATGTTGTCATTTTAATATATTTGAATAATACATTGATAAAACATATATGCTATTATATGAGAGAAAATATAATGATGCTAGCCACGCTATCTGCACGAGACACCATGATAGTTCGTATAATATTGGTAAAGTGTTGTACAAATTGCCTAGCTAATTTTAGTTGTGCTAAGTTAATTTTCGTTGCTACTTTCAAATTTGATGACAATTTATAAATTAGAAAGTAAACTATGGTACGCATACTGCTTTGACTATGGTACGAACTACCTATGTATGCGGCCAGAGTGACTATGGTATCTATGTGTGGCTGTGTGTTTTGGTTAGCCGGCTGTGTGCCATGGCGGCTTGTTTGGGAACTTGAGGGAAGGGGATTAGGAGTTTACACGAGGGAATTGATGGTGAGATTAAGATGGGAATTTGATTTTTCATTCCAGTCTCTTGTTTGGTAGAGGTGGTGGAAATTGATAGGAAGTTTAGTTGGAGATTAGGTCATTAATGAAAACGGATGGCTGAGATTTGTTTAGGCAAAGTAAAGGAAGAATTCCCTCCCAATTACCACCCCCTACCCAGTATTGAAAAGGAGGGAGTTCATTCCTCAATTCCCCATCCCCATCCCCATCCCACCAAAATTCCCATGTCTCCCAACCAAATAAAACAGTTAATAGCCTCATCCCTCTAAACTCCCAATCCCTTCTAAAAACTCCCCCCAACCAAACAGGCTGTGGGTAGAATCCATGGGTTGCCTGTGGAGAACAACTTGCGGATTGGATTGGATCGCGTGTATTTTGTGGGTTGGTTTGGATTGGGTGGGCTAGTGTAGTTGTTTTTGGGTTGGTGTAGGTGCGGGGTGGATTTGAAACCACTGGCAGGCCTCACGCGGCAAAGCAGCGTGTACTTTCTAGTCAACTAATAATACTACAAGACACAGCGCGCCCTGTAAGAAAAGAACACGTCGCCGCGTGTACTTTCAGTCAACTCCTAATACACGACGCAGCTTCCATGACACATCTTCCTGATCTTGACATATTAGCCCTCCAACTAATTAACGAAGGAAGCTTGTGCGCGATCTATTTATATTTATATGGATATCAAGCCCGGCATGTAAAAGCAAGACAGCAAGCAGAACAACGAAGGCGATTACATGTCAGAAATGGCTACCACTACGAGGATGGATTCTAATCTCTCGGGTGAACGTCCACCCGTTTTTTGTATGTCACCTAAATAATTATGAAAAAATTTTAAAAAAAAACACAAGATAGGTTAATATGTAATATATCACTTCACAAACATGTAAGTTCAAATTCGACTTCTACAAGTTGTAACAAAAATAACAAATCAAACTCTAACTAGTATACGTATATTCACAGTCAAATTTATTATTTTTGTTACAATTTGTAGAAGTCGAATTTGAACTTGCATGTTTGTGAAGTGATATACTCCCTCCGTCCCACAATATAAGGGATTTTTGAGTTTTTGCTTGCAACGTTTGATCATTCGTCTTATTCAAATTTTTTTTTGCAAATATAAAAAACGAATAGTTGTGCTTAAAGTACTGTAGATAATAAAGTAAGTCACAAATAAAATAAATAATTATTTTCAAAAAATTTGAATAAGACGAGTGGTCAAAGGTTGCAAGCAAAAACTCAAAATCCCTTATAATATGGGACGGAGGGAGTATTACATATTAACCTATCATGTCAATTTTTTTGAAAATTTTTCATAACTATTTAGATGACATGCAAGAAACGAGTGGACGTCCACCCGAGTGTTTAAAAGAGTTTCTCCTACCACTAGTACACTGCATCAGGCGGTTGCCTTATTAGCCGTCATGCTCGTCTGCTTGGCGCCGGTGACACCGGCATCCAGTGGCGTAGGCAGGAATTTTTCCTTGGGTAGTCCTAGTTCACAAGTTCATGTCACATGATAAAATTTTCTTGCACCATAAAACTGATATACAAATACAAATTTAGTGAAAATGCGATAGAAATAATGTCTTCCAACATCCATAAGCGGCTTACTTAGCAAGCAAGTTCGAAATGTGCAAATATTACAACATAGAGAGTCCAACAATCAACATAGATCCTACAAACAATAGCAATTACCATTTAGCACACATTCACTAATTAGTAACAATTTATAAATTGCATTCTCAGTTATTCACAGACTAACTAATCTCTAATCACAAATTCACAAATCTTCTAATCACAAATTCACAAATCTAGCCATTTAGTTTAGGCATCTATTTGTTACCTGGCTAGTGGGCTGAGCCACGGAAGGGGAAGGGACGGGCGGACGGCAGTCGGCAGGTCGGCAGCACGGCGCGGCGTCGTCGTCGGCGACTCGGCGAGGAGCCGCGGACGGCGGGGAGGTCGGAGGGGAGGCCGCGCGGCGCCGGCACGGAGGAGGGGAGGCTGGAGGGGAGGCCGCGCGGCGCCGGCGCGGAGGAGGGGAGGGGACGGTTGTCGGTGCGGACGGAGGTGGCGGCGCCGCACCGGCGCAGAGACGCGGGCTTGCGGGGTGGGGACGCCGGTGGTGGCGCCGGCGGCGCGGAGTTGAGGAGGAGGCGCCGGGCGCGGTCGGCTATCGGCGCTGGCTGGTGGGCGGCTGAGCCTGAGTGGCTGGGAGCCTAGGAATCCCTCCAACCCTAGATGTTTATGGGCTATTTGGGCCAAGCAACCTATTTGGGCCTAAATTTTTTGGGGGGTGGGGGGTCTCTGGGCCAGATTTTGGGGTAGTCCCGGGCCCACCGGGACTACCCCTAGCTACGCCCCTGCCGGCATCGGCTCAGCCCGACAAGTGTCCACGGAGGTCCGGGTCCTCGTAGACGCGGGAAGCAATTGCCACGACGACAGCTTCAAAGCAATCAGGGGGCACTATACCGCACGCCGGACTACGGTAGCAGCATTGCCTACCGGTTCTCCACGAAGAGGAACCGCCTTGTCGTGCTCGGGTGCCCCGTCCTTGGCTACTTGATTGACGCCGACGATAACTATACGTACGTCACTGGCTGCACATCCACGTGCCGGCGGTCGCAGTCGCAGGGTGACTTGCCGGGCCAGTGCACCGGCGAGTCGGGGTGCTGCCAGAACACCATGCCCCGCGCTCTCAACGTCTACAAGCCTTACATACTCACGTTGAATAAGACAGAGGAACCAACGCGAAACGTCCCCGACCAACAGGAGCTCCCGCCGACGGAACCCGTCTTCCGCCATCTCGACTCCACTGAATGCCAGTACGTGTTCGTGGCGGAGGACAGGTGGATCAACACCAACTACAGCTATCGCGCCTTCTTCAACCGAACCAGCGACTTCGCCGTGCCCGTCGTGCTCGACTGGGCCATCCGGAACGTCGGCAGCTGCGACATCGCCGGGCGTCGGGCGCCGACGGCGATTAGGTTTGAGATTTGAAAACTTTCAACTCAAGATTTGAAAACTTTCAACTTGGATTTGAAAATTTTTTAAGTTAAGATTTAAAAATTTTCAAGTTAAGATTTAAAAACTTTTCAACTCAAAACATTCGAAAATACGTGTGTTGAAGATTAAAAAAATAATCAGAAAAAAGCGCAAAAGGAAAGAAAAATTGTGAAAGAAAAAAAATCGTAAAAGAAAAAAAATAGGACGCGGGAGGGGACCAGACGCACGCGCTATTAAATTACCAGAAAATCTAGAACGGCATCCCGTTCCTACGGGATGACTTAAAAGGTCTACGTTATTTCCATCAAAACAATTGTACACGCATGCGACACAATTTCCTACTAAGTGGCAGGTCTATACTCCACAACACATCCACGTGTATGTGTTCTTCCTGCAGCACAAGGACTCTAGATATATTGGTTGGGCACTTGGGCCATGTGAATCAATTTGGGCATGCACCTCTGTAGGCTTGACTTACATCTTCTATATACCACGGTCATTTTTAATTTTTCGTTTTCTCCTTTTCTTGCTTTGTTTCTTTTCTTGAGTGAGACACATTGAGATTTAGTATGTCATGTAAATTAATTGACACAATGATATTATGTAACATAGATTTTATTTTTTTTCTCTTTTTGACTGGTGTTCGCTTTTCCGCCGCTATGCTGATACCAGCTGATACCAGTATGGTACCAGTTGCATGGTACCTGGTACTTGTGACAGCTGGTACCTGATACATGTGACACATGATACCTGATACCTGGCACCTGGTACCTGTGATATCTGGCACTTGGTACATGTGATACCTGGTACCTGATACCTGTGACATTTGGTACCTAATACCTATGACACATGATACCTGATACCTGGCACCTGGTACCTGTGATACCTGGCACTTGGTATATGTTATACCTGGTACCTGATACCTGTGACACCTGGTACCTGATACTTGTGATACCTGGTACCTGTGGTACAACATGTTGTACGCTAATTAATCACACGTAAAAATTGTCCCGTGACTTCACTTTTCCACGGTATCCCGTGGGCTAGCTGCCCTCTTAAATTACTGGTGCTAATCACGTTTTTTTCCCGTTTTCCGTTTCTGACGACACCGTCCATCTATGCTCGTCACATGTACGTGTGCGCCAGGAAAGCAATTCGCGCATATGCGCTAATTAGCGATCCCCTGTACGTGTGCTATACTCCCTCCATTCCAAATTGATCTACATATTTCATAGGTACACCAAGACCAAAAAAAGCTAATAACTCTCTCATACTATATTTACTCTAGCAACAAACTCGATGCATGCACCATCCCCACTATTTCCTAGCCAATGTCCATTTAAGATATTGCATGTGGGTTATAAATACTTATGTACATGGATGCATGCATCAATGTCCATTTACTCCAATGCATAAATAACGAATAGACTTAATGAATGAACACAAATATGTAGATCATTTAGGAATAATCTAAAAAAAACTATATGTAGATCAATTTAGAATGGAGGAAGTATTTGATAACAGGAAACGGCCTACTTTTTCCATGCACTAGTTAGCGTGCACGTGCAAGGCACGTCGACATACATTGAATGAAGTAAATTAAAAAAAAGGGGCTATCTATACATCTGTTGACAAAATCTCAACCTCTCCTCCTCCCGTTCCCCTCCCATCGCGCTGGCGAGCGGCTCCGCCCGATCCCCCGCCACCACCGCGCCGCCGCCCGCCTCGTCGGCTGGCGGGAGGGCATCAACGGCGCCGGCGAGACCCCCCCCCCCCCCCGACCAGCCTCTTCCCCTTCTTCCTCCTCGAGCCGTCGGCGACGAGGTGCCCTTGCCACCGACACCGGCCCACCACCCTCCTCCAGCCCTGCAGCTCCGGTGCCGCCGCCGGTGCCTCGCCACCTGCCCGATCCGCCGCCCACCGTTGGGCTGCCGCCTTCCACAGCCATCCCTTTAGAGCCGGCGAACTCCTCCCCTCCCCCCTCCCACCCCCACCCCACCCCAGGACCCTAACCCGTAGGGTCCTCGCCGGCACCAAAGAAGAAGAGGAGGTCGCTAGAGTTGGAGGAGAAGGCGTGGAGCACGAATATCGAAGCCCATCCAGTGTCCCAAAATCTGCAAGATTAATTTGGGGATGCAAAATCTGTCGAAAGAAGGTTAGCAATTCCGTTAAAAAATGCATCCTACCCTTAAATCAGTTGAGTTAAAGGTTCATGTTATACATCATGCCCAAAAAAGCTACACCATTACATTCTCTTCTATTAACCTTCTCTATTCGAAACGCCGAGACAATAGCCAACATCGACCTTGCATCATGGAATACATGACACATCCGAGATCTGTCTCCCTGTAGCATCCAACCCTAATGCTATGATCCATTATTCACAGGTACAGATGAAAATAGAAAAATCAAATTCGATCAGCTTGGATTTTTTTTTCGTTTTTTCCACTCTACCCAGATCATGCAGGTGTAGGGCTGGAAAACATGGATTTTTAACAGTGAAATCAGGATCTATGTGGGCAGTGGGAAAAACAAGTCACAAACAAATCTAAAAAATAGAGTAGCAGTGGGTTATATAACCTATATGTATACTCGGAGGTGAAAAAATATTCAGAACTATAATTGTCGTTGACAAACACAGGATAGCATTAACAGTACCTATTCTTGATTAAATTCTCAAAGTTGCCCAAAGTTGTATTCATGAATTTGGGGTCTGCAGTATGTAACATATGAGTTTCTTCATTGCAACATTTTGGGATTGCCGGTATGCAACATATACTATTATTCCCTGAAAAATCCAGGTTCTTCAGTTAGCCCTATAGTTGTCATGCAAGAGAGAACATAGTTTTATCTAGTTAAGACTGAGTTATTACCATTCGCTGAATTCGTCAAAAAAAAAACATATAGATAGCTATACTTATTGGGTTTTCTCATAGCATGTGCAGTACACCGTATCAGACTATGAAAAACCTATAGAAAAGATTCAACAAGCAGTCTAGTGTGAAGGCCATAACGGCCAACCATAAACTTTCAACTGAAGCAACAACTTTCCTTATAAAAAGAATCAGATTAATGATATTTGACTTATTGATGGCCAATCTTTTGCCCTTTTCCATTTGCCTCAATTCCACCCAAAAAAACAAGGTGAAGGCATACCTCATTTCAATATACTTGTATATAACAAAAATAATACAACATTGAATTTATAGCTTCAAATTAGATAGCTGTGCATAATACGTTGGGGAAATGCTGTAACAAAAATTACTTCGGAAGGAGCATTCTGATCTAAGCAACCAAAGCTGATTCATGGTTCCCCTCTCGCTGAAATCCTTCAAGGGACCTTCCTGCTTATAGTATTTTAACGATTCTTCATTGTTCCCTGAACTTGTTGGCCTCAAAGAATAAGAGCTTCAGGTTGGTGCCTGAAGTCTTTGAAGCGTTCAAGCAACTGTTGTCAGGAATAATTTACGTTAACATATCAGAATCACAAAGAGCATATCAGAAAAAAAAAAAAGCCTACATGGGTGCTGCAAAGGCCATGAGCAAGTTAGCTACCTCAATAGTCTTAGAGAAACTCACCGCCGGCGACGCGGATTGCTCCCTTCCCGGTCAGCGGCAGGCCGACAGCGAGGGTTGAACCGTCACGGGTGGTGGTGGAACAGGCGAGCCCCACGAGTGAAGGTGGATCCCGCCCAGGACGTGGGCGGCACGGCTGAAATCCGTCTTGGGCAGGGGCTGCGCCACCTTTGCCAACGCATTCGTGGGCCAGCGATGGTCGTGGAAGGAGACGTGGGTGGAGGGGATCGTGAGGCAGTCGGTAGAGCTTTCCCCGAGAATATGCAGGTTCAGGCGCGACTCCGGCCGAGAAGGACGGCGCCGGAGGCGTGAAACACCTTGGGAAGCGGCGGCGCTGGGGTTGGGCCGGCACCACCTGTGTGCAGCATCCAGGGACGGTTGGTGGCGCGCGGCGTGGAAGTGCGATGGCTGCGAGCGGAATTAATGGTTCGCAGTGGCGGCGCACGGTGTTGTGGTGTAGCGGCGACGGACGGCAGGCGTGGAGAGCGGGCGGTGGGAGGGCGCACACGGCGGTGAATGCATGGATCGCTGGCGCCGGGCGGCATAGTGACGCCATTCTCGGTCACGAGCGGTTTTTCCTCCTTTTTTCTTATCTGATCGTGGGATCGTGTGTCCCTTCAGCGTTTCTTTTTTTTTCTTCGTGCGCGACGATGGTGCATGATTTCTTTCTTAGGGATGACAGGTGGGTCCCACGTGATAGTGGATCTGAAGGATTGTAGGATTAGGGATGAACTTGTACTTTTTATAGTATATAGATGTTTGTTCTTGGATGAAATTGCTTGAACTGATCAGCTATTTGTTATGGGTTTTATAGGCACTAACCAAATAGAAAATCAATAATAGCGTCTTGTGCTTTCTATTATCAGTTGGCAGTTCTCCATTCGATAGAATGGTTTTGTTGGTGTCTCTTTCGGTTCGTATTCCGCTGACTATACTGTAAGATCAAAGTGTGTTTTGATTCTTATTCTGTGATAAATAATTGGTATTTGAGATTATTGGTTTTGATATTTGGAGATGATTGGATAGGAGTTTTTGAGATGATTGGATTTACAGGTGATATACAGGTACTGCTGTTTTGTCAGGTCCGGTTAGACCGGGCAGGTGATGCCGGTCAGACTGGCGCTATGCGAGCGGTCAGACCGGTCAGCCCGCGGTCTGACCGGGCGACTCTGTGTCGGTTTCGGTTTCGGGTTGTTCGTTTGGATATCCGTGATTGTTTCATGTTTATGGCTTCTAGATGGATACTATGCGTATGTAATACTGTTGTTTGCTACTAATGAGTCAAGTTGGAGATAGCTTGGTCTCGGAATATGATTTCTTTGTTTGATTCATGTGTAGGTGACTTGATGCCTCAAGATAGTATTTGCGGTGATGGATCGGGAGTTGGCTTGGGGTTAAGACGATGTCTGTGACGGTCAGATATCATGTGGGATACTTACGCTAGAGTTCAATGCACGTGGTTGGTGAAGATTCTATATGGCATACGAGGTATTGTGTGAGTATGGGATGCGAAGTCGAATTTGGAAGGAGTCCAAATTTGTTATGATTGGAGTTTGTAAAGTTTGTTTCTTGTACGGGAAGGTTTCCTAGGTGGATTAGGACTTCTAGTATGAGTTTGGTTCGTGTCTTTAGGCTGCCTACTTCATATATAAATAGAGAGGGAGGGCGTGGGCTGCCTACTTCATATATAAATAGAGAGGGAGGGCGTGGCCTCCCGGTATCGCTTTTGAGAGTATTGAGTTGTGAGTTTAGTTAGGGTTTTGAGTTTAGTCGAGATTTTTTTTAAGGAGTGCTGTTGTTGCACTTTGTAAACACAGATAGAAGCAATAAAGTTGTCATCTACTTCGAGAGTTATTCGATTTGTGTTTTAACCGGCAACTCACTGGCGGTCAAACCGGCGGCAAGGCGGCGGTTAGACCGGCGATGGCTACAGGCGTCAGGAGCTGATCTCAGCGGTTCGACCGAAGATTAAATCTCGGTCAGACCGGTGGTATCCAGGCGGTCAGACCGGCACGACTACTTCGGTCTAACGAGCTGAAATGCCAGCTCGGCTCGTTAGGAAATTCAAACAAGCCGAGCCTGTCACGAGCCAAGCGAGCTAACGAGCCACGAGCTTCCTGTCCACCCGAACCACGAACATATTGAATTCTTTTTTTCAGCGGCTTCGTAAATTATGAATTAGACATGTCCATGGGCTTGGTAAAGCTTATATGCAGTTGGTTCTGAGAAAAAAAAAGAGAACAAAAAGAGTTGACATGGCTTCTCTCAAAACAAGCTTTGGTGCCTCAATTCCAAAATTTCAACAAAATATTTTTTGCACAACTATTGTATTTGGATCAGCTGTCCAGTTCCATGTATTTGTTTAGAAAACAAAAAAGATAGTGATCATATGATGCTATGAATTGAATTAGTGATTTGACTGTTCCTTTTTTATTAGAGGGTAAGTTGACGAAGTATTCTTAAAGTGGTCTGATGGATCCCTGCCTATTCTTGAATGAATATTTAATTATATGCTGTCATTTCTCATTTAGTTACTTTCAACTAATACTACGTGCACATTCACTTTTTCTTCTAGTCTAGTATTCCACGCGGCAAAGCAACGTGTACTTTCTAGTCAACCAAGGCCTAGTTTAGCTGAGGAAAATTGTTAGGTTTGGTTCTCACATTGAATATACGGACACACATTTAAAGTATTAAACGTAGTTCAATAACAAAACAAATTATATATTTCGTCAGAAAACTGCGAGACGAATTTATTAAGCCTAATTAATCCATTATTAGCAAATGTTTACTGTAGCACCACATTGTTAAATCATGACGCAATTAGGCTTAAAAGATTCGTCTCGCAATTTAAACGCAATCTGTGTAATTATTTTTTTTCTACATTTAATATTCTATACATGTATTCAAACATTTGATGTGACAGCATAAAAATTTTTGTTTTAACAGCGTAAGTTTTTTTTGCTTTGGGAACTAAACACAGCGCGCCCTCTAAGAAAAGAACACGTCGCCGCGTGTTCTTTCAGTCAACTCCTAATACACGACGCAGCTTCCATGACACATCCTCCTGATCTTGGCATATTTGCCCTCCAAAAAACGAAGGAAGGAAGCTTGTGCGCGATCTATTTATATGGATATCAAGCCCGGCCGGCATGTAAAAGCAAGACGGCAAGAAGAACAACACGAAGGCGATTATACATGTTAGAAATGGCTACCACTAGTACACTGCATCAGGCGGTTGCCTACTTATTAGCCGTCATGCTCGTCTGCTTGGCGCCGGTGACACCGGCATCGGCTCAGCCATGGCCGGGCTGCCCCGACAAGTGCGGGAACATCAGCATCTCCTACCCCTTCGGCATTGGCGCCGGCTGCGCCCGGGACAAAGACTTCCAGCTCGAGTGCGACGGCAACACTCCGCACTTCAACTACCTGGATGATCGTGAGAAAAAGCTGGTGAGCCTTTCCATCGCCGACGGCGAGGTCCGGGTCTTCGTCGACGCGGGAAGCAACTGCCACGACGACCGCTTCAAAGCAATCAGTGGGCACTACCGCACGCCGGACTACGGCCGCAGCATCGCCTACCGGTTCTCCACAGCGAGGAACCGCCTTGTCGTGCTCGGGTGCCCCGTCCTTGGCTACTTGGTTGACGCCGACGATAACTACGTCACTGGCTGCACATCCACGTGCCGGCGGTCGCAGTCGCAGGGTGACTTGCCGGGCCAGTGCACCGGCGAGTCGGGGTGCTGCCAGAACACCATGCCCCGCGCTCTCAACGTCTACAAGCCTTACATACTCACGTTGAATAAGACAGAGGAACCAACGCGAAACGTCCCCGACCAACAGGAGCTCCCGCCGACGGAACCCGTCTTCCGCCATCTCGACTCAACAAAATGCCAGTATGTGTTCGTGGCGGAGGACAAGTGGATCAACACCACCTACAGCTATCGCGCCTTCATCAACCGAACCAGCGACTTCACCGTCCCCGTCGTGCTCGACTGGGCCATCCGGAACGCCGGCAACTGCGACATCGCCGTGCGCAACAGGACGGACTACGCGTGCCGGAGCGCGCACAGCGAGTGCTTCAACGCCAGCGACGGCCAGGGGTACCGGTGCAGGTGCTCCAAGGGCTACGAGGGCAACCCCTACCTCGACGGTGGATGCAAAGGTGGGTGCCTAAAACGCAAATGGAGTAATAATCTTTCTGACAAAAAAAAATTAAGTGATGAATATGTTTTGCTTTGCCAACGCTAGACATCGATGAATGCCAACGCACAAAGGAATACCCATGCTTCGGAAAATGCACAAACACAATCGGAAGCTACACCTGCGAATGCCGACCGGGGACTAGTGGAAATGCAACCCAGGAGAATGGATGCCTCCCAACGGACAAGTTCACGTTAGCTCTGAAAGTCGTTACAGGTATTCAATCGGCCGGTTATCAAGCAACATTATTAATGCACTTATTTTCTTGTCGGGAACTAATGAATATCATTGGCATACCATGTTCAGGGGTCAGCGTCGGTGTGTTCCTGTTACTGTTCATGTTGTTCTGGCTCTACCTGGGGCTCCAAAAGAGGAAGCTCATCAGAACGAAGCAAAGATTCTTTGAGCAGAACGGTGGCGTGCTTCTCCAGCAACAGATGAGTTCCTATGGTGGCACCAGCGGCGGAGCGGGTGGGTTCAAGATTTTCTCCAAGGAAGAGCTCGAGAAGGCCACCAACAGCTTTGCCGCCGACCGTGTTCTTGGCCGCGGTGGCTACGGCATCGTCTACAAAGGCGTCCTGGAGGACAACATGGTGGTGGCCATCAAGAAGTCAAAGATGATAGAGGAGGCACAGACCAAGGAATTTGCGAAGGAGATGTGCATCCTCTCCCAGATCAACCACAAGAACGTCGTCAAGTTGCTCGGTTGTTGTCTTGAAGTCGAAGTTCCCATGCTAGTTTATGAGTTTGTCTCAAACGGCACCCTCGACCACTACATCCATGGCAGCACTCTCAACACTGTCATATCCTTGGACTCTCGTCTTCGGATAGCGGCAGAGTCAGCAGAGGCACTCTCCTACATGCATTCTTCAGCCTCACCACCCATCCTCCACGGAGATGTCAAGACGGCAAATATCCTCCTTGATGACAAACTCACCGCAAAAGTTTCAGATTTTGGGACATCAAAACTGGTGCCTAATGATGAGTTCGAGATTGCAACTCTGGTGCAAGGGACATGTGGGTACCTAGACCCTGAGTACCTCATGACATGTCAGCTGACTAACAAGAGTGATGTGTACAGTTTTGGTGTTGTCCTCCTGGAGCTTCTAACCAGGAAGAAGGCACTCTACTTCGGCGGATCAGAGGAAGACAGGAGCCTCGTGTCTTGCTTCATGACGGCTGTGAGAGATGGCCGCCATGAGGAACTTATTGACAGCCAGGTGAGGAATGAGATGACAGAGGAGGTGCTCCAAGAGATTACACACCTCGTGATGCGATGTGTGAGCATGAGTGGTGAGGAACGACCGATGATGAAGGAGGTCGCTGAGAAGCTGGAGATGCTGAGGAGATACCAGCTACACCCCTGGGATAAAGGTGATGCCAATCCGGAGGAGAAGCAGAGCTTGCTTGACATGGAACAGAGAAATGTGGATCAGAAGTTCAGACACCACCATGACTATGATCCTGAAAATCCAGCTTGCAGATCCTAGTATTTGTGCCATTCGGGTATGACCTGTGTTTTGGGGTAGAAATAAAATAGACATATTGTTACCTTGAATGTGCGTTGGTACTAATCATCACTATGCTTTCTCCAAAACACACTCAGGGAATATTGCTGTCTCTCCGTTGTCCATTCAGTTGCAAGAAATCAACCTATCAGAATAGAACTTTCAGTCACAATAACGTTGTGAAATAACCCCAATAAACTGGTGGATCGCACAATCGCACTGGTTTTATTTTTGTCATAATTCTTCTTGTGGTGTTGTCATAATTGTCTCTATAGCAAAATAACATTCGATTAAGGTCTTTATAGCAAGAGACAAAATCAAAATTTAAAATTAACATGTACTTTACATACTACTAGAATGGAATGTTTACTTAGCTAGATTACATGTCGCTAAACAACTGGACTTACAGGATTGTTTATGGGCAAAAACTGTGCCTTGTATTTAGATAGCTGATGATGTACCATGCAGTCCCCAGAGAAATGCATCATTCACAGCTTCCTAATAACGGAATAAGCCTCCCAATGTAGGTCGTAGCACTCAGCATCCCATGATAAAACTTTTGACATCGCATCCTTAATACGCCAATCCCACTGGGAAGGGTTGTTCTTCTGCACATTCAAGAAGCAAAAAATTTGATATAGCTTATTCGGGGAGGCTATTTTAGCTTCCTATAAGCCTTCTTTCTTGCAGATTTGGCATGTCCTAATGATTCAACAGCTTCCAAAGGATAAGTGTTAACTAAGTAGTGTCCTAGAGATTGTGAACTTACAATGCCATCGAGAGCTTGAGAAAGGGACATGTCCCCATATGTTGAGATGATGTACTGAGAGAGGGCTGTGCTAGGGTAGTCATGCCACTCAGTTTGCCTGGTTACAAGTAAATTTAAACACAGTGCCATAAGTACACATAAACACATATTTGCCACTTCTTAGTAAACTTGACAACACATAATTGCCAATTGGCACATCAAACATCTATAAAATATTTTGCAGTTTTCACCTGGATCCATTACTGGGAAAGTTTATCTGTACTGGTGCAGATCCATATTTTATTGCTCTAATCTGCCCACAAAGATAAGAGTCAACTTGCTACGAGACAAAGTAGTGAGCTTGCAACTTGTAAGCTAACTTTCATTGCAGAATTAATTTCATTTTCATGTGTCAAAAATCAAAATATAATTCCGGCAACTTATGATGTTGCTAAGATCAACAACGCATACACAAGTACACAGCTAAAGCGGACATGCAAAATAAAAATGCCACCAAAGAACAAAATTATATCTGAACTGCAAGGAGTTTTGGTCAAAGAGCTTGTCAATTGCTTCATTTCACAGTCTGTGGAAATGAAGTTGCGCCGGTTATGTGTCAAGGAGCTGATTCACTCTTGACTCGGTGAGTATCTACCAATAAATCATACTCTGAAAACTGGAGAATACCTCCTTCCATTAAATCATGTGATACTGACTTCTTCTAAGTTTTTGGATGCCATTGCGAAGTGAACATTAGCTAACTAAGTAGAAGCGGGAAATAGAAAAAGTTTTTACGTACCGCTATTTGTAGCGATGGGTCATAAAAGGAAGAGCACAGAAATATATCAGAGCCTGCAAATATCAAATGTTCCAGGGCCTCATCGTATATCTCAACAAACATTACTCTGTCTCCCTGTTTGATAAATTGAAACAAGTGAACCGAGATGTAATGTTACTCTACATTCTACAGTCTCCGTGAACACAGAAGGCTTTACACAGGTTACTGATGATAGACATGGAACAGTAATACTGATACCTTCAGTTCTTCCTTTAATGCCTGCACAGTTGAGTTCATCACAGGCCCTTTGTTTTCCATGAAGATGACCTACACAGTATAAACTCTAAAAACTGCGCTAGTAGAGAGCCTGAGTCCAAAGTGAAGGTCCTCAATTAATAATTAGTAATACAAACCTGAGCACCTCCATGCAGAGCAACACGAACAGCTTCCCTAAGACCATCAGTATTCGAATCACCATTGCAGATACACCCAACCTGACAAACGATATAAACTTCATGAAACACTGTAATGACTAAACAAAAATATGTTTTTTGTGCAAGACAATGAGAAGTACATACAACAACGGAAGAACCACTGTGGAGTCCAACACATCGCTTAAGTGTCTTTCTGCAAAATGATTTTCCTTCAATGTCATTTGGAGAATACCTCTGAGGAAGATAAATGTCTTTGGATGGATCCCAAAGTTCACCATCCAATCCATGAGAAGCAACCAACACCTTCTCCCTGGAGAGAAAACAAAATTTGTGTGTGAAACAAGAAACTGCAGTCATGGACATTCATTAGCCCTACAGGCTACAGGGAGGAAAATATAAAAAGCAAAACAAGATGATAATTACTTGTGTGTAGTTAATGTTGCTTCCAACCCATGTCCTAAGCCTTGGATAGCCATATCTCTTGGGAGGGTTGAGGACATTAACAAAACTTTATTTGAGTATACAATACCTCCCTGAAAACAAAATGACCTGAAGCTCATACAAAGTTTTCTCGGGGATATCAAGGAGTCAAGCACTTTCATATCTATTTGAATAAACAATACATCCCTGAAAACAGGATGACCTGAAGATCATACAAAGTTTTCTTGGGGATATCAAGAGTCGAGGACTTAAAACACGTCAATTGAGATTAATAATACTGATATTGTTCACAGTTCTGATAATGCCAAACAAAGTCGTTCATGTCAGCCAAGCAAAGTTCTCCTCATGATAATTCCACACAACACACGAACCACAGTCTGAATATGTGGTTGCATGAAATAAAGCTTGCAAATATGCAAGTGCCAAGTGATTGCAGTTGCCATGGTGCTTGCCTTATTCAAAATTAAGCTTCACATATTTATCATTCAAAGGATTATGTGTGAAACAATTTACTTCTGTTTAGCATTTTGATATCTTCTTCAAGCACATCTTTGAACTAGTTTCTTATAGAAAGATGGAAGTGTCATGAACGAAGGATTAAATATAAAGATGAAAGAAATTTAGAAAAAAACAATAGCATAGTCTTCAATTGTCATATGTCACAGTACTCAACCCATGGCATCAACTCCTAAAATTTTAAGAAGGCTGACCTTTAGAACATTAACAAGATTTGTTTCGCTATTATCCTGCAGACGATCAGGTCGATGAAGTTTATGAGGATCAAGTCCGCACAATTCCAGCATATTTGGAACCTCTAGGCACTGCATATAGGATTATTTTTGTTAATATGTCCATTAAAGTTTAAAGATATTTGAAAGACGAAAATCTCTAGTCAATCCAAATTTCGCTGTGTTGTTGGTAAAAATTTGAGCAACACGATGCCTGAAAGAGTGAATGAACTTATGATGGTAATGGTGCATACATATTCCAATAGGGTACTCACTGAAAATATGAATTAGCTAATACTGCTAATAATAACAGATAGGTCCCTAATAGATATTGCCAGAAAAGGAAAGGAAATAGCAGAGAAGGCATAGGTTCCTTTCCCATATGGTAACTGGTAACCAACAGTGAACATTTGATGTGTACTTCTATTTCTCAATTTCAAGGTCTAATGAAACAATTTCACCAACAAAAAAGATCGACAGATAATTTGAAGATATGATTTACTGCATCATAAGGATTCATTTTTTTGTTCTTCAGATATTTGATATTAGAACAGATTATGTTTAGCAACTGTGATCAGCCTGTTTAATTAAGAACATCAAATACGGTTAACCAGTAGCAACTCAAATAATGCATATATGATATTTACTTGCGAAGTCAAGTCTTGACATGTCAGTAATATCCGAGTGTTCCCAAGTCCCTGAAAATTGAATACAACTTATAAGGAAAAACTTCACATGAGGAATAACAAAATGCTCAGATGATTTTCTGCAGCATATAAAAAATTCAACTGCATTTCTAATACTTTATAGTCGTTCTAAAGACTGGGAAGAATCTTTTGTGCAACAATGTTCAATATAAACAGGGGGAATGAAGGTGTATTTTTCTGTACGCAGAAAATAATAATGTTCACATCGATTTCCTGTCTGTAGAACAGTGTGCATATGTTCCCTGTTTTGCTTTGAGATGTACTAATCAACCCTTGGCAATACTAGGAGACCAGTGAAAAATATATTATAAGAAACATGAGATCTGACAGAAGAAATAATTTGTGAGGTATGAAGTATAAACATTTACACTGAAACAACAATGTCTTTGGGAGATAGCATGACTGACCTGGTGAGCAAATATATCCCAGAATAGAGGCCCCACTATAGCAGTTTCCCAGTTATGTACATGCAAAACATCTGGCTGCTTTCCGGATTTTACAATATAATCCAATGATGCACGTGAAAAATAGGAAAATCTGTAACAATGTATTCATAGATGTTAAATGTAGTCAAATATGCTAGTTATGGTCTATATAACCGATCAGTTTGTTTCAGGCCTAAATAACCCTTTTGTCGATTACATACAGCTGTTTCTAGCTCAATACAACACATGAATTGTTATGTACCAAACAAGGTATCAAAGCAAGGGTCTAATAGATACAATCAACTTAAAGGGGGAATGGAGGATCATGTGTTAAAACATGCAGTAAGCACATATCATTTGTGTGTCACATACAACAGATAAACAGCATGGCACAAATATATCAGAAGTTGAGCTTCTGAAAATGCTAGAGCTAATGATCAACGGTATTCAAAATAGAATCAAAACAAAAGCAGATACCATATGGCATAAAAACATACCGCTCAAAGTCATCGGGGTAGCCACGTAACATATCGCGATCAAAATATGACAGCTGCACCGGTTCTATGAGTGTAAGACTAACACCACTTGATATACTGCACTAAAGAAGGTAAATATGACAGCTGCACCGGTTCTATGAGTGTAAGACTAACACCACTTGATATACTGCACTAAAGAAGGTAAATTAGGAGGAGAAACCAGCAAACATGACTAAAGCAAGCACGCACAGCAAGAAATTCTCTATAAAATTACTTTTAAAAATTAAGATCTTGATATAATCAACAGAGTAAGAAATTTCTGTTATACTGAGTATATATTTACCCTGTCCATATTCTGTTTTTATGCCAACAACCACCATAATAAGATTCATAGTCTGCTTCAGCTTTCCTCAGGAAATGAATTACATCTTCATTTATGCCAGCATACCTGTTTTTGGGTTATACCAGTGCAATTAACACAATAGCTTTGCTTGCAATACTTGAGGCATAAATATGACACAACCAAAATCAGACTACATACAAAGCTCAATCCCAAATCCAACAAATTTATCAAAAACAAAACATCTCTCCTTTTAGAATAATGATCATTGTAGTATGTATTATAGCTCTACGTTGCTGAAAACCCACAAGAAATTGTTCACTTTTTTATGCCTAGTCCATTTATAAATATAATTGGAATTATTGCAAACATTTGAAAATGGACAAAATTATTAGTTCACTGGTGATCACTTGCTTGTCACAAAGAAATTGCATACTTGGGCAGTATGACCTCCACCAAGTTACCCTTTCTTTGAAGTGCGGAAGATAATCCAGTAACATAGGTTGCTAATGATCCACGTGATGTTATTGGATCCATTTCACTGCAGATGTGCACAACGTGTAGAGGTTTCCTGCAAAACAGTAATTTAAATTAACGTAGCTATGCAAAATTTGTAAGTAGCAGTTATGATGGCAGAAACTCAGATTAAACAGGTAGTTTGTGCATCATATAGAAAACATGCAGTTTTAGAATTATACAGCACAAAATATAAGCAGAAGGCATATATACGAAAAAATTGTAGTGCATTTTCAATTTTTCATGCTTATTCAGATTGAAAGATGTATGTATAATGCAGTAGGATCTTTGAATATAATATGGCAATAGTAAAGCTGGAACCTGGAGGAGAGATGTAATGAGGTAGTGGTACATACTCTGCTGGTTTACGCAGAAAGAGTCTCAATTCTGAAAGTAGTTCAGTATCTTGTTTATGATGAATATCAGAAAAGACGCTATGTATCATGTATCGGTTGTCAATAACTTTCTTTCTTAAATCAGACGCTTCTGTCATGCCAACCATACCAGAAATGGTCATTGTATCTATACGCAGAAGCAACTCAGAGAACCTTGATGATTCTGCTATTTCTATGGAAAAACCTGAAATATGTAAAAGGAGAATGCAGCGTCAAATTTTAGGTCTGTCGTTTACCTCTTATTCTCTTAAGCTAACAATGATAAAGAGAAAATAGAAGTATCACATCAAACACAGGATTGAATTGCTCGATGTTACACATCTCGCATTCTATCTTCACAGTTAATTCACAAAAGTATCTTGGCATTAGGATGGTATCACCGCCACACCTTGCCTTTCTGTTTCCAGTACTTCTATGTCCTGCAGAAGCGATTTATTTTCATCCTGCAGTTTCTTGAGCTCTTCCATGGCCACAAGCCGCTGCTTGTTAAGGTGTAGGATATCTGTGAAATTGAAGCCATCAGAACAGATAACGCTTTTCTTTTAGCAAACAACAAAGTGATGCAAATGGTTCACTCTAATTGAAAAGTGCCATAAGCATGCCACGCCAAATATCAAATGATACTGCTCTGGTGTGGTTCAATGGTAAGCTCAGATTTAAAAAAAAAAAAAAGTAGTTATTACTTCTCTGAGCCTGGCTGAATAGCTCCCAGATGTCAACCCCTTCGTGTCGTTCATCAGCCAAATATGTTTCCTGCGACATCAGCTCTAAATTCATGATCCTCTTAAACCATAAGAGAATGCAGGTACATGAGGTAAAATATGTGGGGAAACGTGTTACAGATTCGAAGTTTTAATGCATACCTGGTCATTGTTTGCTTTCACGTTCAGCCTAGACAAACTCACAAAAATTAACCACTCGCTGCGTCAAATAGTGAAAATAAAACTGAAAAAAAGAATCTAGAGATAATACGAGCGGCGGAGCACACACCGAACGGAATTGGAGCCCTCGCGATGGGGTTTGCTGCGAGCATTGCCCTTCCCCTCCCTGGAATACACACCGATTTGAGGATCAAACGCCCAAACAAAGCCACGGTGACGAATACCCACATCCACATGTTACGAGTGCGCGCGGGTGCGTGAGCGCCAGCGCAGTGGAACCGCAACTTCGCAAGCAAGCAAGTACCTGGAACAGTAGCACCGGGTGAGAGGGGCGAGTCGAGGTCGAGGCTCCCGCGAGAAGATGAGGAGGCGATCCGCAGCGCCACGCGGGGAGCGCGGGAGAGGAGGTGGCGGTGGCGGTTGCGCGGCTCGCAGCGCCGATCCGACGACGAGCCCCGGCGCCTCCATCTCCGATCCCTCCTCCGGTGCTTATCCCCGATTCGCCGTGCGACTGCGAGGCAGCAGCAGCATTGGGGTTTGGGGATTTCTGAATTCTGAGGCGGAGGCGGAGCTGATCAGACGAGATCACGAGAGAGAGCGAAGAGGAGTGCGGAGAAAGGGAGACGCGTGAGCGTGATGAGGTAGCGATGGTGTGGTGCGTACCGCGCCAGGTTTGGTTTATCAGGAGGGTTTTGGAATTAAGCGGCGCGGGCGCCGGGTGGTTAATGGCGTATTAGCCTTTTCCGTTTCTGTTTTTTTTTTTTTGGCGTTTTACTGGTTCGGTGGGAGCGAGCGAGCCGAGGAGCCAGCCCATCACGTGCATCTCCCCCAGCCCACCAGTGAGCTTGAAGGCCAGCCCATTTCGGACGATTATCTGTGTTGGCCCATTTTGGACGAATCGATGAGGCCCAACAAACGGCCTTTGCCGTCTCCAATTGGTTGCGTGAAGCCGCCGCTCTGTCAAGAACGGAAAATAATCATACGAGACCAGACCAGTGGTCTCGTGCATGCACGTAGTAGATGATAGGCTTAGGTCTTAGGATAACTAACATACTTACTCCATCCATTGCACAGCCACTTTTTCAGATGTTCCATAATACTATAAGGCATACATGCATATAGACAATTAACTATGGCCCCTTCTCTATTAAATTATTACTCCCTCCGTCCCTAAATATTTAACGCCGTTGATTTTTTTAAATATATTTGACCGTTTGTCTTATTTAAAAAATTTAAGTAATTATTAATTCTTTTTCTATCATTTGATTCATGGTTAAATATACTACTACTACTCAAGTTTTTGAATAATATTCACAAAAGTTTTTGAATAAGACGAACGGTCAAACATGTTAAAAAAATCAACAACGTCAAACATTTAGGAAAGGAGGGAGTACTTTTTTAAATCCTCCACTCTCATGTTCTCTAATTCTATTGGATGCATGCATTGTATTTGTTAGGATGATCCAAACTATAAGATGATAATAATTATTTTCTTAGTCTTTAGGTTAAGGGTGGTTATGCCTTACATTTCAGAATGAAGGGAGTATAAAATTACAGATGAATTGACAAATTTATGAAAACAGAACACACATCAATTTATCCACTTTTAGTCTCGTAGGATTCATTTCTCCCAAGGACCTGCACGACTATTTCACCAGGCAATATATGTCGCTGACCCTGACCGGTATTAACAATATACTTCCTCCGTTTCACAATGTAAGTCATTCTAGCATTACCCATATTCATATGGATGTTAATGAATCTAGATGGATATATATGTATAGATTCATTAACATTAATATGAATGTCGGAAATGCTAGAATGACTTACATTGTGAAACGGAAGAAGTACTTCTTCTGTTTTTGCAAGGAGCCCAGGAACACGTACTACTGTTTTTTTAAGAGAGAGAGATGATCTTAATTTATATGGTACACATAGCAGAAAATATATATTGCTAGATAGATAGCTGCAGGAATTAATAACCAAAGATCCGGATAGAGTATGTGGTGTGTCGTCGATGACATAATCAAGAAGCATGCACGCGCGCGTGCATTCTTGGTTCATTCCATTCATGCCGTAAATTTCTTGCATTCGAAGTCCATCGAAGGTGGCGTACGTCACCCATGACATGGCGACCGCGCCGTTCATCCAATCGACTCGGCACAGGTGCATGCATGCGTGCGATTGCACCTGGCCGCGCCCGGTTCAATTCCTCTCACGTCCACATCTCATCTCGCGTGATGACTCGTCGTCCGTGTAAGAGTTAGCGTAAAAAAAATTAATGTTTCACCACATTTCCATACCTTCAAAATGTCGTAGTCAACCCATTAACCACGCGTACGTACGCCAAGAACTGATTGGTAATAACCGGTTAATTGTTGATGTGGTAGAAAGATATCATTATTATGAGCGGTGGTACGATTCAAGAAAAATGAATGACTGATTAACCACGAGTAGCACGACCAGAACTGATTGGTGTTTAATAGCCGGTTATGATGTACAGCTACCTGGAATGTATATTCATTCGTTGTTTACGTGTCATTCAAATAGTTATAAAAATATTTTAAAAAATCAACATGGTAAATTAATATGTGATAAATCATTTTAAACATGCAAGTTAATTTATTTATTTTTTTACATATGGGATAATGTACTTGTCGAAATATGGATAACAACTTGGTTGTGAACTTGTGATCGATATTTACGTGTATTTTTGTTTATCTTTCCACGTACACGTATTGTATTATGTATGCTCCAAGAATATTATACACAGCATGCAGTGTCAGCCGGCGTCGATTCTAGACTTCCAAAATATGTGGCTTACCTCTTCAGAATAGATGACAGATTGACAGTGATATATGTTTTTATCGTATATGTATGGAGGTATGGAGCACTTGTTTATGTGCACAAAGTAGTTAATTTACAAGAGGTAGAATGCGTACAGTAGTTGGCAACTTGTACAGAAACAAACATATAGATTTGATCCTAGCCTGCTAGCTTCGGCAACATGCGTACAGAAACAAACATTTCATCGGAGTCAGCTTGCATCATGCGCAAACACTGAACACGACCATTTGTTTTTGTCAGAATCATTCATTCATTGATATAAACTAAAGCCAATGAATTTAGATTAGATATGGCGCTAGCTAACCTATATGGCCAGTATAAAATAAACGTTGAGATGAGATATATATAACCTCCCTTAGTTAGTGGTGTAAAAACAATTCCAATTAGGTGCGAGGTGTCTATCACCCAGATAAAAAAAAACAGCACAAATGATATATCAAGCCAGCTAATTAAGACTGCGGTCATTGGATCTAAGCTAAAGTCAGTGACCAACCAACCACGAGCATTTGTATTTGGTCCTTTGATCGAGAGGAGGAGATTGGAGATGGAGATGCAACTATAGAAATAATTAATATTTTTCAATTAATCCACTTGCCTGGTCAGCCCCCACAGCCAGGTTTGCAGAGCAATTCTAAATGCAGAGTCCAACCCATATTCCATTTCTTTTCTTCCTGGCCTCAACTGCTGATGAAAAAGCTGGTCCATTTCCGTTGCCTGCCTTTTCGTTGTTAACATGATAAATTTGATAATAATCGTTTGTTATCAAGTTGGTGATCATGATTCGTTTGATTCATCATGCATGTACATCTATATATACACACTTTCCGCTTTTGTTATCATATAGTAGTAGCTTTCTGTCACTAACTCACTATCGTTCAAGCGCAGCCGATCGATGGATCGAGCGATGAGATTCCGGAACTGTGTGTTCGTTGACGTCTGAATTGAAGCAGAATATACGGTTTAGGTTGGTAGCTAGGCTGCGAATGCGAGAAAAGTAAGCGCGATACGATCGAGTTGCCGGTTGCGAAGCCGGCGCGTCCAGTTTGGAAAACGTGGAGCTAGCTTAGCTTCGTCGTCGTCGCCGTCCGTTCGAAACGCGCGGTTTGCCGGCTTGGGAGTTGGGAATTGGGAAGAAGTCGCAGCCGGATTCACCGCGTCGTCCAAGTGGGCGCGCGGCTGCAGTGCAGCACGCGCGCGGATTCTTGTCAAGCAGCGGCAGCGGCGGCAGCGCCCGCGCGCGCGGTCAATTCAACGGCGGAAACGCAACGAACGATGAAACGATCGATCGGTGGTGGGACTTGCTCGCGGCTTCACTGTCGGGGGCTGTTCGCTAGCAGCAGCGTTCGCGATCCACTTGTCGTTGGTTTAAGCCACTGTACACATTGCGTCGTGAACGATCAACGATGAAACGTCGCATGCGCAGTTGATACTGACAGTAGATCGAGCGCGTCCGTAGGTGGAATTCTACGGCGATTCCGAAGCAGCGACGTAAGTTCTCGATCGAGTTTCTGCAGCTGGTATCTGCGTACTCCCTCCGTTCCAAATAAAAAAAAAAGACGAACCTTGTGTTTTCGTATCTAACGTTTGACTGTCCGTCTTATATGAATTTTTTTATAATTAGTATTTTCATTGTTGTTAAATGATAAAACATGATTAATACTTTATGCGTGACTTGTCTTTTTAATTTTTTTCATAATTTTTTTTAAATAAGACACACGGTCAAACGTTGGACACGGAAACCCATAATTTATTTTTTTTTCGGAGGGAGTACGCTACAGTTCAGGACTTCAGGCGATCGATCGACCGTATATTAATTTCTCCCTCGTGCCAAAAGAAAAAAAAAATACCAATGGCCCATTTCACCACTGAACACATTTCGATGCCTTTTTTTTCCGCGTAAATATCTAGACCAGGTAATTAATCGAGACAATCTCTCTACGGTAAAAAGATTTATACAACATGCCTGCATGCATGCGTAAATCCTGCTTAGGCACGCATGCATTCGTCGTGGGCCTTGTTGGCTAGTCCAGTTGATAAGAACGAACGAGACGGGTACCAATCGTGGCAGGTTTTCATTACGCATGCAGATCAGGTGTCGATCGCACAAGGAATGCATGAAGATGCAGATATATAATCCCTACATATCCTCTCCTCGTTCGTCATAAAAACCAAATATGGATAAGCTGTTTAATCGTAATCACGACAACACCGCACCACAAAACAACAAAATGGCGGCATTAATTCCATATATATTCGTCGACGAGGCCATCGGATCGCTCGAGCTCGATGCGATCAAAACGATCCTATCTGAAAATTAAACGAGCCAACAACGAGACAGTGCTACCATTTGTTCACTGTTTCGCAAAAAATAAAAATAAAAAATAGTGAACTTTGTGTTTGATCACAGTTTGTAAAACCAAGGGGGATTAATTGAGCTTAAACAAAGAAGAGACGGTAGTCCATTTCCTCTCCTCTTTACCTTTTTCCCTTTCAAAAAGCAATATAATCATGGGCAGAATGGAAAGATGGCCAGGTCCAACGCTGCAGATGTGTATAACATGCGGACACTGTAGTGGCACAGTATCCTCGTCATCACGCTCCAAGGAGGCCACGTTTCATGGGCCCCAATAATTCGCTGTTCTTTGGGCCCCACCGACCATACAGACACTTGTCCCGTGCTTACATCGGTTTCTGCACTTGTTTATCCCAAAAAATTAGAACAAAAAACATCCATTGGCCTGCCCAAACAACCAAACCCAACCCGTCCACTGCTCCCGTTTTATAATCCCCTCAACAAATAAATACAAATCTCCAAACTTTAAAAGAAAGACATTATTAGGAGTAAGACAACATAATACACTTCATCCATCTTGGGGAGATTTTTTTTAGTAGATAATATCCATCTGGGGAGATGCGTATCTCATTTTTATTTTGCTCAAATTTATTTCCTTGTTAAATCATGAGTCGGTAGTAATAACTAATAAAGCTTATTAATCCCTATGCTAATGCGTAATTAAATGGAAAATAGAGAAGGAAAAAATACGAGACGATACACATCACCAGGTAGGTCCGCTAGGTGCGAAAGAGTATGTAGCCTAGTGATTATAATGCCCTGAGTAGCCTTCCAAAATCCTGAGTTTAAATTTTTATAAGAGCTAATTTCATATTGAATTGTTAAGTGGCTAAGTTCTCAATTTAAAATGATTACTTATATCCCGGTTAAGTTTAGAGATCGGTTTAAAAATACCATTCTCTAAGAAAAGAAAAGGGTTCGCTAGGAGCCAAAGAAAAAAAAGGCGAGGCGGATATTCCATTTCGTCTCCTTGGCCGCTGCGTTTCCCGGCTGCATTTATAGGCGAGGCGGCCGCGGCGTCGGAGACCAGCGGAGACAGAAGAAGGGGGGAGAAGAGAATCGCGGAGATAGCATGAGCAGCGGCGGCGAGCTCGCGCTGAGGCAGGAGTACGTCATCGGCGACGAGATCGGGCGCGGCCGCTTCGGCACCGTCCGCCGCTGCTACGCCGTCGCCACGGGGGAGGCGTTCGCGGTCAAGTCCACGCCCAAGGCGCCGCTGCGGGAGGCGGAGGCGGCGGACGCGCTCGACCTCGCGCTCGCGGAGCAGGAGCCCAAGGTGCACCTCGTCGCGTCGGCGCCGGGGCCCGGGGCCAGCCCGCACGTCGTCGCGCTCCACGCCGCCTTCGAGGACGACGCCGCGGTGCACCTCGTGGTCGACCTCTGCGCGGGCGGGGACCTCCTCTCCCTCGTCTCCTCCCGCGGCCGCCTCCCGGAGCACGAGGCCGCGGACCTCGTGGCGCAACTGGCCTCCGCGCTCGCGTCCTGCCACCGCCGCGGGGTAGCGCACCGCGACGTGAAGCCCGACAACCTCCTGTTCGACGGCGGCGGCGTGCTCAAGCTCGGCGACTTCGGGTCGGCGGGGTGGTTCGGGGACGGGAGGCCGATGACGGGGCTGGTCGGGACGCCCTACTACGTGGCGCCGGAGGTGGTGGCCGGGAGGGAGTACGGCGAGAAGGTGGACGTGTGGAGCGCCGGGGTGGTGCTCTACATGATGCTCTCCGGGACCCTGCCCTTCTACGGCGCCACCGCCGCGGAGGTCTTCCAGTGCGTGCTCCGCGGCAACCTCCGCTTCCCGCCGCGCGCGTTCGCCTCCGTCTCGCCGGAGGCCAAGGACCTGATGCGCCGCATGCTCTGCAAGGACGTCTCCAGAAGGTTCTCCGCCGACCAAGTCCTGAGTACGCACTAACCCTCTTCCTTCGTTTAAATTTTGCTCCACTTTGTAATTTCAGTTCATGATTCCCCAGAAAATGTGAGGTGTTTTTGCTAACGATTGGATCGTTCGGTGTTCGTGTTGCAGGGCATCCTTGGATCGTGAGCCGTGGGGGAGCCGCGGTGATGGGCTAGTTCGTTCGATCGAGGATGATGATGAACTCCATCCATGTGTAGATAGCTTTTCTTCAGGCGAAGGACTCGTCTGCTAGCTGTGAATTTTGGCTTGGATTAGTGGCAGGGTTCAGTGGTAGTAGCGTATTATTAGTGTTTGTGTCCAGTAGGAGTTAGGACCATGACGAGCTCTGGTGAATTGGCTGGAATTTGGGAGCTAGCTATATCTTTCTACCCGAGTTTGTCCGATGTACATACAGTGATCAGTTGATCACCTTTTGGCTGAACTGAAGAAGAGGGTAGTCTCTCTTAGTGCGTAGCAGGCTTGTTCAGATGAAAATTGAATCCAAAAACATGAGAAAATTTCTGTGAATTGCTGCAGTTCACCTATGCATATTTCCATCTGGAGTGTGATTCACTTGTCATTTTTTTCGATGCTTCCCATGATCCAATGTATGTGCTGTGATGGTCAATGGTGACTGGCGCAGTGGTGCTCATGGATTTGGAAAAATTGAGGCGGCTGTTCTGTTGGTAGTGGTAGTGGTTAGATTCAGATACTACTAGTATCATAATCTTGGGCGTTGAATTAAAACTGAAGAACAGAAGCAGCCTGAGTGCCTGACCGGCTGGCAGATCTGTGAGTGGTGGCGTGGTGGGGATTCTGGGCCGTCTGTTGGCGCAAGTAGCCGCACCCGGTGTCCTACGGAAGCTGCTCCTCTAACGTACTGCCCTCTAACATGGGTGGCCGACATGTGGGTCCGCTAGCTGTGGGTCCCACATGTCATCCTCTCAAAGTTAGAGGGCAGTACGTCAGAGGATCCCGTCGCGTGTCGTACCGGTGATCGATGCCCATTTCTGCCGGTAAAACCGGGTGAAAGCAAAGCGAAGCCCAACCGCAGCCTCTGGCTCCAATCACGTTCTGCACCCTGCTCGCAAAGCAACCGCTCTCCCCCCCTCCTCCGTCCTGCACGACTGGCGGCACCGTGCAGCAGCAGAGCAGCAAGCAGAAAAAGCAGCGGAAGATTTGCTTCCCCGTGACGCCTTTGGAAAAAAACTGCTTTTGTTTCATGATCACCTACACTTGCAAAGTTGCAACTGCTCTTGCAACTAACTAAAGAAAGTAGTATTTGGGATTGATTGCTGCTGAAAGGGAGCATAACTAGGAGTATTAATTAGGGATTCTGCTAAATTTGTTAAAGGATGAAAATCCGGACTAATGTACATCCTTTAATTTATATGTGGATGATGATGAATCTACGTGGATAATTTCATATTATCTCATATTCAAATTTATTGTCTTAAAAGATATCATATTCTTATTTAGATTTTTTTTTACGAAGGAGTACTCCTAGAAAGGAGGAAGGAGATTAAAGCACCGAGTTGGGGCGGGCGCGGCGCCCAGGCCCATGCAGCTGCTGCCCTTGGATGGCGACTTGGATGGAGGAATGCTTTGTCACAGTCGTCATTTCGTGCACAACATTATTGTCGAAATGTCAACTTTAACATCTGCTAACCACACACGACGGACAACCTGACTACCTGCCTCACTTGCTCAGCGTCATGGTGTCCAGGTACAGTCCCCCCACTCCCCCCTGCCTTGCCCTTGTTGGCTTGAACAGTTCAACTTTGATTTATTTATTACCCCCCTCGGTTTTTTCGAAATATTCTTTTCCCCTCGGTTTCTGTAAAATTGAGAAGAAAAAAAAGAATATTTTAAAAAAATCGGCTAGCTTCATTCTTACTACTAATATGTGGGCTCTGGCTTTTTAAAGCTGCTTGGTTCTTAAATTTGATCATTGTTTTCCGCATGATAGATAGGAGTAAGTTATGTTCAGTGCAAATAGCCATGACTAAAAAGACAAATCTGAGTCTCCGTGTGAACTTCGAAATGGAGGAAAATTTCACCTTTCCTGTGGGAATTGAAATGCTCCGTGTGAAAATCCCATACACGCATCGGCCCAAATCCGCATGGCCCGCTCCAGTGAGATTTCACGGGCTTTGTATGGCACGGGAATTACTGGGCTGAACTTTTTTTTCCTTGTTCTATTAATTAATGAATTGCATATGTTGAGTTGTTGACCAATGTGCTAACAATGCCAGAACTGACAGACTGTTGAAGAATCAGCCGATGTACAGAGACTATAGAAGAACAAAACTACCAGATATTTTAATTCAAACTGTTTTACAAAATTTTATTTGTAATTCTGCTAGACACGACAGCAAATTGAGCCAGATCAACGAGCATACAGATTTGTACGTAACTGTAGAACACATCATGCCAGATGCAAGGTTGTCAGTTTGTCACTAGAGCACTGATGCTGCAACCCTTTTCAGGGATTCAGATACTTTGAGGATATCAGATTCAGTGTGACCAGCTGATACGAATAGGCGGATTCCAACCGGAAGACGACACTTGTCCAAACTCGATCGTTTCGTCGCTGCAATGAAGACTGAATCTTCCTTCAATACCTGTGAAATTACAATTACGTAAAATACATTATTGGCTTAACTCCAAAAATCAAATCTCAAGTGCTTTTCACGAATTTGTTGAATCCACCACTAAATACCTTCTCTGAAATAACCTCAAGGAGCTCCAGGTCAGCAACAGCAGAACCTGTTGATGTCTTCAATTTGAGGAAGACAATAGGTGACAATATATTACTAGCAATTTCAAGCCCCTGTACATCTGACAACTCTGCGCATCAAATGCAAATGAAAAGATGAGTGGATGGACAAATATACAGCGAAATATGCCAGACGTTTCCTAAAATTTTGATATCACAAGTACATCAAAATACTTGTAAGGATGCTAAACATTGTGTATTTTCGGTACTTTGACTATAGCCCATAGTAAGTACATCACAGTTTTATAAACTAGGTTAGTAACATATTACCAGTGCACTATGTTCGGTAAATTAATGGAAGCAAGAAATAAAGGTGCCAAGAGAATTAGTGACCTTTATGCAGAAGAGTGATGTTTGATCTTAGATTGGCAAGAACCGATGGGTTCTCCTCCAGGTGGTCCACAGCAGAAATTGCTGCACTAGCAAGATATGGTGGTAACGAGGCAGAGAAAACATAACCGGAGCTGCTTAGACGCTGCAAGATGACAACAGTACAGCCAGTTAAAAATACTGAAGATGCAGGTATTTCTATACCATCATCAATATGCTATCGATCTGATGTGGCACCTACCTGATGATCAACCACTCTGATACTTCCTGTACAGAAACCACCATCAGTAGCTAATGCATTTCCCATTCCAGCAGTGATAATGTCTATTTTTTCAATCTGCAATCGGTAAAGAATACTTAGAAAACTAGTAGAACTCAATTGTGCAGCAAACTAAGCTAGTCAACAAGGAAGATTTTCTTAATACAAATTGCACTTTGTCTACTGAGCCACTGATTATGCCTGCCCAGTTCTTTATTTGTTGTTTCAGATTCGCTGTTGTGGAAATATATGAAAAGAAATGAGAGGGAGCACTCACAGGAACTCCATAATGTTCAGCAAGGCCACGTCCAGACTTGCCAAGAACGCCAAAAGAATGACTCTCCTCCAAAATAACACGAAACCGGTATTTCTCCTTCAATCGAACTATCTCATCCAAGGGTGCAATTTGGCCAGAATTCTGTATCCAGAACAGTAGACAGACTTTAGAAACAAATTCAGTCAATGTATTTCTCAGCAAAAAAGAATTCATGAGTAAGCTACAAACCTGGTAAATAGCTTCCACAACAATATAGCGCCTAATCTTTTCTGTACGTTTGTTTCCATGAGTTAGTTTTTCCAGAGTGCTCGCAAGTGAAGCCATGTCATTGTGCTTGAAATAAACAACAGTGCTTCTTGAAAGCTGCAAACCATTTTGTACTGCCCAATGAACACCCTCATCACTGCATTGCATATGAATATCAAGATTTATTTTTATGAAGAACGTGGCCATACTGAATTATTTTTTTTCTGGATGCAAAAACTAGCTAATAATTTTAAATATGAACAATGAAAAGAGATATATAAGGACTGAAAGCACGCATAAAAAAAAAGAATTCACCATTTCGAAATTATGAGTTTCAAAAATGCATGATGGCTAGAAGGTCAAGTAGGTTTGTCAATAACACAGAAGGATTAGCGAGGTCCATGATACCATATTACCAATTCTACGAATTTCCAGAACTACAATAAAATATCTATGTTCATTTTACATCAGATGGTATGGCACGACTCAATTCATTAGAAAATGTTGAATAATATGTTACTAAATTGTTGTAAACAGGAGGAAAAAGGTTCACTTACGCTACAATTATATCTCCTTTCTTACAAAAGGCAGGAATCACACTGAAGATGGTTGATATCCCATAGGAGTACAAGATTGAATCTTGCGTTCCCAGGAACTTTGCAATTTTAGTCTCACAGTCAAGGTGAACATCTGAAAACAACAAAATGGCTAAGTTCCTCCCCTGAATTTGCATTAGGCTTTTGGCCACAAGATACAAAGTATTGAATATAAGTTGTAACAGAACATTACGAACCAATCGTTCCATAAAAGCCACGAGGTCCGCATGATCCAACGCCATATTTCTCCACCGAACCAATACAGGAATCCTGCAATTTCCTTACATCACTCAAATGTTCTAAAAGAGTACTAAAGAATATTAGCAAAAGCATGAGGTTCTTACGAGTATCTTTTCATTGCCAATCAAACCAAGGTAGTTTGCTGACGCAAAGTTTACAACTTCTTTTCCATCAACAATTGTATGCGGTCCAGCAGCACTGATCAAACAATAGAATATCAGTATTCAATCCTCTCGGTCTTGGTACAAAGATAGTGGGGAACCATAGCTATAATTGTGTGAACTCTAAATCATAGTTTGGTTGTAATTCTAGAACTAACAAGCTCTGGAGATCAACACCCATATTCCATGCTCACTAGGTCATAGTATCATAGTATAAGTGTACAACAATGCTTATATACCGACTTCCCTAATCCTTACTAAATGAAATGGCTACAAACTGAACCCATGCAATCTTTTTTTTTTAAAAAAAAAAGAAAGAAAGAAGTACATTGCAACATAGAGCCTTTGGTGAAGCACATAAAACACTTTACTGGTGACATGAAGGACTAATTAGAAATGTCTACTTTGTTGGGAGGGGATGGGGCTTGAGAATTGAGACGAACCTTTCTAATGTAGGAGCCTCAATCCGAGCTCCCTCCTTGATGGGTGGGCAGAGAGGCTCTGGTTGCCACTCATCACAGAGCTCATCAACCTCCTGTTGAGCCAAAAAAAAAACACCTGATTAACACAATTGATGAAGCATTAAGAAATGGAAAGGAACAGAAAAAACTACTAATTCCAAATTATTGAGCAAAGTGTAGCTCACCCTCTCAGTGAGTGGCTTCTTTGGAGGCTTGTAGCTCTTCCTGGAGAGCTGGAAGAGTATTGCGGCAATGAGAAGCCCTTCGACGACCAAGTGCCCTGAAAATCACAGAATCAGCGCATAGCGCATAATTTAAATGAAACACGATACAACTCCAGAATTTCTTAGCTGCTGGAGAAAATAAATATCATTTACCATCGATATGAATCCCAAAGACAACAGCACGAGCAAGCGGGGCATTGAACATAGCAGAAACCCGCGCAAGTGCTGCAGCAGTCGCGTTCGCGACTGGCAACACCATCTCCATACTCGAGAGCAGTTTCCCTTTTCTCCCAAGATTAACAAACTCAGCACCGTTCTAAACCTGTACAAAAAAACAAAAGAACGAGATGCTAAATCCACCAAAACAAACTCGACAAACTGATCCAAGAAACTACAGTTTCTCTGCAACTGTTCCAAGCACAGAAACAGTTGGATCTAATCCTAAGACACAGCCGAAAGACCGTTACCTTTATCACCCTGACAGATCTCGATCAAGAATCGCGAACGACTTGCGGACTCACTCGATTTACCTCAACATCGAGAGGAGTGGCGGGGGTTATATACATGGGGTAGGAGGCAGTCGTCGTCGGCGACGGAGCGGACGAGGTTGGGGTGTGGAGGGCGGGGAAACCGTGGGTTGGGCTGATGGTCGGAGATCTGCGGGTGGACCGCATCCGCGATTCCGCATCGGCGGCGCGGCGGAGCTCATGGTCAGCTTTGGCTATCTTTTTTTTTATGAAAAATAAAAAAATAAAGTAAAATAGAATAGATTTGTCAGTTTGCATGGGTTCAACGTAGGACGGCTATGTTGCCGTGGCCTAAGCCCAGGCACGGCCCAGGGTGGAGGTGGGCCGGACCAGGCTGGTAGACTACGGCCCTAACAGAAAAAGGAAAGGAATAAGTTCACTGTTAGTCCCTTAACTAGTGACGGAATCTGATTCGTATCCTTGAACCGCAGGACCGGATATCTAGACCCTCCAACTATTAATACCGGTGTAATTTGACTCCCTCGATGGTTTCGGAGGACAAGTTCAATGATGTGGTGTTCACGTAGCAGTGTTGACTTGGTCTGCGGATGTGGCACTTTGGTGACATTAGAGTTAAAAACATATATGTGGGTCCTATTTATCACTAAAAAAAATTATGAGACCCACATGTCATCCTCTATCTCTTTCTTCTTCCTGCCCCCCTCTCTCTCTCCCTTCTCTCCGACATGTCATGTGTGGCCCAGGATGGGTAAAGGTAAATGTAGATGGTGCTTTTGTGCAACAAACCAAGGAAGGGAGTGTGGGCATTGTGGTTCGCAATCAGGAGGGAAAGTTACTGCTTTCATCTTGGAAGCTGATCAGAGGCTGTGCATCGGCTGAAGAAGCAGAAGCAGGTGGCTTGCCGTGGTGGGATCCGCCTGGTAAATGAGTGAGTTAAGGGGCCTTTCATCCTTGGAGCCGATTGTGCTAACGTAGAAGCAGCCCTAAGATCGGCTGGGTGTGATAAATCTCAGGTCTGGCATATACTTCGTAATTCAGAAAGCTAGAGCAGGGCTGCATGTTATTCATGGTCCTCGATCTGCTCTAATTAGTACTACTTTCCATAAAAAATCAACTCGTAACTACGAACCTAGACACATATAGTTAGGATTGAAAATTTTTTTAAGTCGGAGAGATAGGGTTGAAAATAAAGTGGCTCGATCATGGTCTCATACACTATGCGTTACGTTCGAAAGAGTCTGTAGGTTTGCGCTTCCAGGCGCCTGAGGGTGTTACCGAGCTCTTAGCTCGTGATTGTAACCCTATTTCTGTGAGTTAATAAAGCTTCCTGAATGCCCCCCCCCCCCCCCCCCCCCCAAACAAAAAAAAGGACGACCTCGGCTCGCATTGGCATGGATGCAATGGGCTATATTAGGCCTTACCTCCTGAATGGCAGGCCAGACCTTGAGCTTACATGATATGGGCCTCGCCATCTCATTTCCCCAAAGTTTTCCAGGCCACTATCTCTCAGTTATACTTTTGTCTGACTGGTTCTATCTCTTTTTTTACTTTTATGCAGTCGTCAAAAATAAGATTGGAGTTTTTGCATTTTGATAATCCATCCATTAATTATGTCACCACTTAGAGGTTAATGCACGACCTAATCACACTTTGAGTAACCAGACCGCAAAAGGACAAAGCATCAATGCATCATTATCTCTCATATTCTCTCTTAGCTGTCTGTCTGACTCTGCTAATTGTGTCCTGACCGCCGACTCCATTCAGAGTATGTGGTTGCTCCCCAACTCCAATAGCTCATGTAATTACTGTAAGGCGACGACAGTTCATCCATAATTTGACTAGCCATTCACCCATTCTCTGTCCAATAATAATAATAATAATATAGTACTATAGCCCTCTTCTTTTCTTATCTTGGATTTTTCATTTCACGATTTCCAAGCTCCTAAACTATATGTTTCATGTAAAATTCTCGGAAAACTTTTCTAAACTGTTTGAAGTGAAATTTTACAAACCTTGCGAGTTGTGACAACAATGTTCTAGCTCGAAAACTAATTAGATCAGTCAGAAAAATTATATAAGCTCATAAATTAGCTTGAAAACTAGTTTAAAAAATTTTATTTTTTAAATAACTGACATTAGGCACTATTTATTAATTTTCAAACTTTGAATTTAAAATTATTTTAAGAAAGTCTGAAATGCTAAAAAATTATACCTTGTCACCGAATTGTAATTAAAGCATCTTAAATATAATCATAAATCATGTATCTGTCGTACTACTTTTATCTTTTAAGAGTAAATTAGTGGTCAAAGCTAAAACAATGATAGTCACCAGTGACGGCAATTTAAAAACGGGGAGGATTTACTACTTATCTATTTCTTACAAGCATGTTCATGTTCAAAAATAATGGTCAAAGTTGCATATTTGAAATTGTTCCCATGTCTAATGGCATATATTCTGAGTATATCAAACAGAACTTTTTATCTGCTTTGGCTTCCGTTCTACAGTTGTTTGGTGAAATAGAAAACGTCAGGGATTTTGCTACTGTCCGACAAACTATATTGCTTTACACATCACACTGATTAGTCTCTAACCAGACCAATACCTAATTTTTATTTAGTGGTCGCTACAAAGTTGAGTCATGGCTAAGCTCTTCTCCTGACAAGCACATGCTGCATCATCACACGGGTAATGGCATCTTATCTTTGGTTCTGGCCCCAATTAACTCACTCAATGACTGGTTTTTTTAATGAAGTCCAGGATGCACTTGTTAAAAAGAGAAGCATACTTAGCTGATAAAGTGGGGTACTAATTCTATATTCTTCTGGTAAAAAGGAATTAAACATGATTCAGAACTCTTCAAAAAGCAAGGAGATGAGCTGCACATCATCATTAGGCATAGGTTTATGTATCTATCATCTAATAGAACAATGGCTTCGAACTAATATATTTGAAAGGAGATTATATGTTTATAGTATTTTGTATGTTAGAAATGCACTTTATGATGAAAAAAAAACACTACATATATTCTCCAACTGCAAATGCAACATCACCAACACCCCACCTGAAAAGCATACGCCAGTCAGATACCACATAAAGCACTGGCACAATCGAACAGTGGACATCCATAGGATTCTCTCATGATATTTGTTGGCATATGAGAATTATTCTCTCCCAGGATGGATCAAGGCAAGAACAGAAGGAAAGAAGTGCACAGAAAAAAGAAGATGTGATGTATGCGTCCATTGGAAATTGGGAATCGGATGCAACAATTTGGCAACCTGCTGGCCATTTTTATGATGTGTGTTCTTGCCTGCAATCATTCAAGCTTTAGTCTTCGCTGGTGCCGGCGCCAATCCAGTGGATCACTGCATTTCTGCAATTCCCTTTTCACTACCCATTTTTAAGCAGGTAGTAATAGGATTAATTAGTAAGTATCAGCAGGGCGGATTCACAATGGGGGCGGAGGGGTCTCGAGACCCCACTACCACCCCGGGACAGTGGAGACCCCCCTAAGCCCCCACTAAATTTTTTTTTCCATAGATCCATAGGATGTGGGGACTGAAGGTTCGATTTATGCTGATGTAGTTTATTCAGCCCCCACTACTATTTTTTTCTAGATCCGCCACTGAGTATCGGACTACTATCAATCTATCACGGTCTGCTATGTAAAAAAAGATTGCAATCTTTAGTAGTAAATCAGAATGTGCTAGAGAAGATCGCAATCTTCATCAATAACCTCTTCTTCTGGCAAAGAGTGAGTTGTTCGTCAGATATCTGAATATTTCAGAATGGACCAGCATTGTATTCTGCTGCAAGTGATTATGGATCAGAATGGCACATGTATTTTTTTTTCTTCTTAAAGACAATACAATACAACACACATGCATACAAGGAGTTCATAATCACATGCTTGTCTTGTACAAATGACAAATTCCAGACCGAATATGTTTGCGTACAAGCTACTCTACGGATCGCTACGATCGTCCAAGATCGAGGAAGACGACTACTGGGTGAGCCCCTACCACGAGAGCCGGTGGTGTATATATATATTCCATCTCAGAAAGGGCTAAAATCTCGTGCTCTTCTGATGGCAATGGCGTTCTTGGCGGTGATTCTCCTTGCTGCTTTCGATCTCAGCTGAGCTTAGGCTCAGTTTGAAACGGATTATTGAGTGATTATAGGGATAAATTAAATATTTTAAAACAAACTTAATAGGTAGGCATAAAGTTTTTTCTTTAAGAAATGTATGTTTTGAATCATATAGCAAATAATCCGTTTCGACGATCAAGTGAATAGTGTAGAGAGTTAATTGATCTTGGTTACTTCTCGTTTACCGTTAATATACTTTTTAAAGTGCTAAAGGGTACATTCGTATGAAAACTTTCTGTATAGAACATGATTTTGAGAAAATCAAATAAATCTATTTGCGTATAGCTAATCAGCCAAAACCAACCGCCCTAAATACTACACGACCACATGACTAGTCGAATTACTGTGTGGTCGTCAGGTCGATCTGAACGAGTCAAGCGATCGACTTGTAATCCTATCAAAACGACATCAGTCGGCAGCTAGCTGAACTTGCCTGATCGAGAGGCACCCTGTCGTGGTCAGGATTGAGCTAGCTGGAACGAAGTTTAACCAGGTTATTAATCGCCATATCGATCAATAATTCGTCTTAGTAAATGCAAGCATCAAAAAAAGTTATGGCTTCAACTGTAGCTCGAGATGGAATCGACACACAGCGATAGCTACACTGCTAAAACCTGCACACAGTGTGCAGATAAGAGGATGGAGACCACACCTTGAGAAGAAAAAACCAACATAGGATATGACTATCGGTGAGAGAGAAGATGTAGAAAGAGATAATTAACTCATTGACAGATGGAGCAAATTCATCGGGTGAGACAATTAACTAGCTAATTCAATTTAATTCAGTCAAACAAAACACAAGTACTCTCCCTGTTCTAAAATATAAGCATTTTTAGACTTCGACACAGTCTTCGAGGGGCTACTTTGACTAACAATATCTATAAAAATAAGATGTTTTAAATAAAAAATTGCATATTATGATAATTTGTAATGATAAATCTAGTAACATCAATTTTAAATGATTAATTTTTTTATTTTTTTCTATTAATAGTTAAAATTAAAAATATTTGACTTGACACTATTTAAAATAATATTTTAAATGTTTATATTTTGGGATGGATGAAGTGCTAGTCTTCATTTCTAGA